AGAATGAGAACACTTAATCTCATATTAGAATTGCAAAGAATGATGCCCATAGGCTCATTTATAAAGAGAGACCCCTAGTCTCATGTATAAGACACTTTTGATTTGTCAAGAATAATTATTTTGGTCATATGTGACTCATGAATATTGAATCATCCAATGCCTAACAAGAATTTGTGCATAGTGGCCAACTTTCTTATTACACACTATCACTAATGATCACTTTAGAGTTCCTTCTTCTCATGCTTTGTAATTTTTGTAGTCACTAATCATCCCTTTATGTCATGTTCATAATGTCCATTAAATTAGTGGGATTGAACATACTCATTTGAGCCAAGCTTTTGGGTTTCTATATACTAATGAAAACATTTTATGTCACCAATTTGATAGCTTGGGGAGGAACACAAGTATGACTTCATTGTCTTGGCAAAGTTTTCCCATTGTTCCCTTCTATGTCACCTAAAGGAACTTTTGATATAGGTTGTTGTCTTGAGTGGTTCAAAAATAGTTAATTCATATCATACCAATCATAAAATGATTGATTGACTTCAATCCAAATGTACAACCTTGGCACATCACCACCTAGCCTCATTATTGCATATTATATGCGATAATGTTCTCAAGCATTGCTTAACTTGAATAGTAGCTCCACTTGAAATATCCCTCATTTTAGGTTCTCTCTCATAAACACAAGGATATCAACTATGATTTGTGATACATCAAACTTGGGCCACCATTTTAATTTCCACTACATTAAGTTATTGTAGTTGTGGTTTTGAGTATCTCTTGTTGAATGCTATAGCTTTGATACTAAGCTGTAGGGACTCTATGATTGGAATCAAAGTTAGTACATAAAAAATATACAAGAAAATAAATAATAAAATGCTCTAGTAAAATAAATTGATACAATGTCCCACACTCCACCTCTAGTAGTCCCCAAGAGCTTTGCTTCTCTCTCCTAATCTCAATTAAAAATAGAACCTAACCTCTCATCTTTCATTTTCCTCCATTTATAGTTTAGTGTTCTAGAGAGGTCAGCTCCTTTATAACTCTCATGTCCATGATAAAAGCCCACATGCCCATTACTAGTCAGGGTATGACATCTTATGCTCTCAAGTAACAATTCATTTTATTTTTAAAATTTTTATTTACATTAATTTACATGTGAAATTTGCTTAGTCTATTTGTAACCCTATAATGTTACTGTTTTAGAAAATAGATTTAATCTATTTATCTCACCGAGCCACCATTTCGAACCGAAGAGCTGTCTACCGCTGTTCCTCATCGGCCACCGACCAGCCGTCTAACATCGTCGTCACGTGATTCCTTCCGTGAGATGCGGCCGGCATCTGCCGGCGGTCGTCCTAACGGCACGTTATGTCCCCATCAGTCGCTCCTCCTACGGGACCACCCCGGCGCACATGGCACCGACACCAATATCAGCAGTCCACATCTCCCCAATCGTATATTATTATTATTCTTAAGTACCTTATATAAATGATAAATTAAATATAATATTACAATGTGCTGGATCGGGTCGAGATGTCGGTTTAGTGGGAGAGGGGGGGGGGCGCAGCGATGATTTTTATCGAATGATCATTTAATAATATTAAATGAAACTCCCGTTGAATCTCTATTTTAAACTTTGGTCTATGCCGCCACCCGGTCCGAGGGAAGATACTCGAGCCACGTGGTGGCATAACGCTCTCTCTCTCTTTCTCTCTTCTCAGTCGTGACTGAACAGCTGTCAGTTCCTTAAAATCCTGGCACTAATAATAATATTTTATGTGATTAGATGCGAGAGATGAAACCTTAGCAAGTAAATATAGAATCTCAAAAATTACCCTCCTTAGTATTCAAAGTCAACCATTGTGACCGGGCCTGGACTGGCCCGCAAAAGGCATCAAGGGAGACTTTTGTGGGCCCCGCAAATAAACTGATTTGACCGCTTTTTGGGCACGGTGTCAATCGTGTTAAGTGGAAAAGACTGTGGTCATTAGCAAAAGAGGCAGAAGGGAGGGCGCCGACAGAGGGGGATCGTGGCCTTCCCCCGTTGGATTATTCTGTCCGCGTGGCGGTCCCGACGCCGCCGGGTCCTTGTCTCGGTATGGACGTCTGTTCCTTGCCCCCACATCCCATGTGGCCCGAGAGCCCACTCCTCCACGTGACTTGGGCAAGAGCATACGTGGATGGCCCGGATACGTTGGCAAGTGGACATTTTTATTTCGATGGGGGCCCGTCAAAATGTCAACGCCTACCATCGGTGAACTGGAGCAAGAGGTGTGGGGAAGATTGACTCCCTCTCTCTCTCCCTCTCTCTCTCTCTCTCTCTCTCTCTCTTGCCCCCCTCCCCACGGGCCCTCCCCTGGAGAGAGAGAGAGAGAGAGAGGGCCCACCAGAGAGGTAAAACCCATGCATTTTAGTCGAAGATGGCAGCGGGACCCACCCCTCCTTCTATTTGATTATTTATTTATTGTATATTCGTGCATGTCGACAGATTTTCGTCGTCGAATTATGGGAAAAATAGTGGGCAAGAATGTGAACGCAATTAACCAAAAATGAAGGGTTTTTCGTACGTGTAAGATGCTTGAGAAGGCATGCCGATAAAGCAACCGCACGTCAACCGCCCACCGGGAGGCTTCGTGGCCGGCCGCTTCTCCCAAGCCGCCGTATTTATCCTCTGAGAGTAAGAACCAGAAAGAGAGTGGGAGAGAGGACGACGACATGGACTCCCTCTCTGAACTGGCTGTTGGGTAGAGAGAGAGAGAGAGAGAGAGAGAGAGAGGGAAAGAGAGATGAAGCCACGGAAGGGGTGCCTAGCGCGGGTGGAACCGCAGAGGCTGTGGTCGGCGGTGCTGGGGGGTTGCCTGCTAGTGCCGCTGGTCTTCCTCGTCGTCCTCCTCCCGAGCTTGCAGCCCCTCTCCTTCCGTAAGTTCTCCTCTGCATGGATTTATCGGCGAATTATTGCTCGATGTTCTTGCAGCGATGATTATTCTCATGGTAGGGATATCATCTTATCTTCTCGTCTTGCTGCAGTCAATTTTCAGGCGTTGGTAACCGGGGGCGATAGGAAGACAGCCGCATTTCTCGCCGGAAACGCCACCGCCTCCCCTCGGGATTTCGAGGAGCTTTCCGAGGCGGTGACTCTGGGTGGGGCGGCGCCGCCGCCCGTTCAACAGACGAACAGCTCGTGGCTGCCGGACAAGGACCTCACAGAGCCGCCGGAAGAAAACGCGGCGCCGCCGCCGCCGCTGCCGGTTCAACAGACGAACAGCTCGTGGCTGCCGGACGAGGACATCACAAAGTCGCCGGAAGAAGACGCGGCGGCGGCGGCGCCGCCGCTGTCGGTTCAACAGACGAACAGCTCGTGGCTGTCGGGCGAGGACCTTACAAAGCCGCCGCTGGACCAACAAATCGATAGTTCGTTCCAGTCGCCAGAGGACCTGACAAGGCCGCCGAAGGAAGACGCAGGGGAGTCGCCGCCGTCCACCGGCGACAACGGAGCTCCCCCGCCGTCGGCAAACGTCAGCGTCCTCCTTCCGCAAGGTTAGCAACCCGACTCTCTAGATCTTCCGTACCCTATATTCTAGGCCGATTTCCTTGCCAGTGGTTTTCTTTGCTGATTTTAGAAGGAGATAGCTGGGTGGAGAGAGATTTCCAGGCCTTACCGGTAGAAGATGACTAGAAATAAACCAGTAGCACCGATCCAATGCAACGAATCAAATCGCCAACAAGAGATAGAAAATGATATATCGGCGATTCTCACACCAAATCCTTTGTGGGTAGATGATAACAACGTGAAGCATTAATCTACTAAACAGTACATATTTCGCCTCGAACCATGTCCCCGAGGATACAGATTTTCACGAAAAAAACCATTTTTCTGAATGTCATCACTAGGGACTTTAAGGGTCATTAATTTCTTCTTCGATCTAAGATACCATACTTGGGAAATGACCCTAATATTTCCAGTTTTAGTCGCACCTTGTCCACCAGCTGAGCCATCTTCTCATGCCACTTGAAGTGGATCACAACACTGTAGCATGGTCGTTATAATTATCTTTATTTTTTATATTAAAACCTCCACGAAGAATTAAGATACCCAGAAGTAGAAATAAAACTGAGATTTTTAATTGCCTCCCCACCTACCACTAGCTAGAGTAGTCGGACCGCCAATTGGGTCACCACCCCTTTTATTAGTGGCGATCCTGTCACCGCAACGTGGAGTGACCTCAGTCTCCAGTTCCACTCCGCCAGCTCCTCATTCCACACCCGCTCTCTTGATCGTGGTCAAAATGGAGAGGGGCAGGTATTACTGGATCTGCTGGGCGGTAACAGTCCTCTTAAGCTGAATCCCCGGGCTATATCACTCGCCCTAGTAGCGTTGTACTGATGGCGACATGAACAGGAGAAAGAAGGGGAATCCTTTAAGTTGTGTGGGTCTCAGGGGGCCGAAAGGAAAGAATAGGAGGGACTTTTATATAATTTTCTGTCGGTGGCCCGTTTATGGAGCCGCCCACGTGAGGGCATACTGGCCTGGCTCACTCGACGGGCCAGATCGACGCGAATCGGATGCTGATCTGTGATTTACAGATCAACCCCTAACATAAATTGTAATCATATATGCTCCCTAATGCTTTGCACACCCCTTCGTGTGCACGTCTACTTGCATAAATATCTACATTAAGGGTTATTTTGCTATTTGTGAATTTTTTGTGTTCGTTCGCCCGCTGTATTTGTTCCCTTGTTAATTATAGTTTTTGCTAATTAACCTCTGCATGTTATGCAACTAAACTTCAGAAGAAGAGGCATCGAAGGCTCCGGCAACGAGGATCGAGTGCGATTACTCGCCGGTAAGAACGGACGTCTGCGAGCTCTACGGCGAGGTGAGGATCCAGGGAAGCTCCTTCTCCGTCTTCGCCGTCGCAGCCGGCGGCGGCGGCGGCAGCAGCAACAGCTCGTGGAAGATCCGGCCCTACGCGCGGAAATGGGAGACGGCCCTCATGCCGAACATCAAGGAGTACACCGTGAGAGTGGCGGCGGCGCCGCCGGCCTGCTCCGTCAGCCACAGCGTCCCCGCCGTCGTCTTCTCTACCGGCGGGCTCCTGGGGAACTTCTTCCACGACCTCTCGGACGTCCTCATCCCCCTCTTCCTCACCTCCTCCCGCTACAATGGCGAGGTCCAGTTCGTCGTCACCCAGTACCGGACCTCCTGGTTCGAAAAGTACCGCGCCGTGCTCCGGCGGCTCTCAAAGTACAAGGTCATCGACGCCGACAGCGACGAGAGGGTGCACTGTTTCCGGCGAGCCACGGTGGGGCTGTGGAGCCACCAGGAGCTCGGCATAAACCCGGCGCAGCACCCCACAGGGTTCTCCATGGCCGATTTCAGGCAGCTCCTGCGCAGCGCCTATTCGCTGCCCCGAGAATTCCCCCGCCGGCTCGGCACCGGCACCAAGCCGCGGATGCTCTTCCTCTCCCGCACAAAGTCAAGAGCCCTACTCAACCAGCGCGCCGTGGCGGCGCTGGCCCGCGAGCTTGGCTTCAAGGTGATTGTGGCGGCGCCTGAGGCGGCGCGGGACATGCCGAAGTTTGCGAAGACGGTGAACTCCTGCGACCTGCTTATGGGGGTCCACGGAGCGGGACTCACCAACATGGTCTTCCTCCCGACGAACGCCACTATGTTGCAGGTGATCCCGTGGGGGGAGCTCAAGTACGCCTGCAGGTTCGCCTACGGGGACCCGGCGTTGGGGATGGGGCTGAGGTACCTCGAGTACGAGGTGGGCATGGAGGAGACCTCGCTAAAGGACCAGTACCCGAGGGATCACGCGGTGTTCAGGGACCCGCTGTCCATCCATCGCCAGGGGTTTCCGGTGGTCTGGTCCATCTTCATAGACCACCAGAACGTCACTATCGACGTCGACCGCTTCCGGCCATTCCTGCTCGAGACGCTCCGCTTCCTCCGCCAGTAGCCGGCGGGCTGGCTGTCCATATGCAGGCTCTGCATAGAAGATCGAATTTCTTCTTCTCTTTTTCTTCTGGGTACGAGGGGAAGGGATGACGGTGATGATGATGCTGGCTCTTCCGGAGGAGAAAGAGGACGACGACGACAACGACAACAACGACAACAACGACGACAATGGCGCTGTGGATGGGACTGTAAAGAGGAAGCTTGGGTTCTTCCGGAATCGGACGACTCGGTGCCGCGTCCAGGTCGAATCAGCCGAGGCGTAGGCGGAAGCTGTGGATGTGTTTGGTTTCCAGGTTTGATTCCGAGGAATCAAACTCGACCACTCGAATCCGATTTGGAGGGGGTGGGCCCCACCACATCTTAATGGGCCCTTCTAGAGTTAGTTTAAGTTGGGCCAACAGAAGTTCAGATGCCCAATATATAAAAGGGATTTGTAAAATGAGGCTTGGGGGCACAATCGGAAGCGTTTGGGTCCGATCTTGGGAGTAATCGATTGGAAAAGACCTCGAGCGCTCCAATCTGTTCTGAGACCGGCGGACCCCACCGAAGATATTAATGAACCCATGGGCCGACACGGTCAGATACCCAATGCATATGTATATAATTATTTTACAAATAGGGTTTTAAAAATAATACTTAACGAGAAAAATGGCTTGAAATATTTCGCAAAATTCTCGGCCTCAAATGTGTGAACGTCGAGAGCTGGGGGAGGGGTAATCAGATAAGCGAGGTGACTCCGGAGGGACAATGTAACTGGAAAAACTATCCGAGGATTCGCGACCAGGCCTCAAACAGTGGAGGGAGGAGGGGAGAGGGTGAGGAGAAAGAGAGAAGAGAGGGAGAGAAGGTAGGAGATGGGGAGCGCAGCGCTGCTCTCGCACCTGCAGCTCGGCTCCCTCTGCCGCTTGGGATCAGACACGCGGGGGTGTTGCCCTCCCATGGCGCGGAGGGTCTCCTCATCGACATCGCGTGGCCTCGTTCTCTTCCCGAGGCGGCAGGCCCGGAAGTTTCGCAGATTCGCGGTCGAGGAAGGGCTGGAAGAGCAGCCGCAGTCGCTCCTGCCGCAGGAGCAGCAGCAGCAGGGCGGTGTCGGGGCTGCCGTCGAAGAAAAGCCCAGTAAGTTCGCTGATCTTTTTTTTCATTCTCCCTCCTGAATTTCCCTCGTTTCATCGACGTTTTTCAGGATAAGCTTCGTCGCAGCTTCAGTTTTTTTTTTTTTGTTGATTATTAGCGTCTCATATGGTCTGAAGGCGTTGATTTCAGTATCCCCGCCTCGGATTGGTGATGTTCACCATCTGGACATCCCGGCTATGTGAATCCTTCGGGATGGGTTCAGTCCGTCTCTGATGCAACGACGCATAATTCTTTTCAGTAGAACTATCAGGATATCGTTCTGTGCCATCACATTCATTAACGAAAAACAAGACCTCGTATAAACAAATCTAGGGCCAGAATTTCCCAGAAATCAACACCGCGGCAGCGTGGGAAATGGAATTTTAGAACCCTAATCCACTGAGGTTTTGAGCATGCCATCAAAGGCTTCCAAGTATACTTGTCCAAGCATGTTATAACATGCTTAATTTTCAAATATTGTAAAAAGGAGTGTTGTTAGCCTTTTGCTTGGCTGATATAATGATGAATTCGAGTTAGCTTGTCCATGCTTCAACTATTTCTCCCCTGCAGGCTCATCGAATTTCTTCCAAGATGGTGCAACAAATGTGGAGAGGAACGGCGAAGAAAGTGGGATCTATAACTTCCTTTATCCTAGTAAAGAGCTTCTTCCAGACGACAAGGAGATGAGTCTTTTTGACCATCTGGAGGAGCTTCGTCAGAGAATCTTCGTCTCAGTCTTGGGTGTTGGGGCCGCTATCCTGGGTTGCTTTGCATTCTCCAAAGAGCTGGTTCTGATCCTCGAGGCTCCAGTCAGCGCCCAAGGAGTTCGATTCTTGCAGTTATCTCCCGGGGAATTCTTCTTCACCACCCTGAAGGTGGCGACCTTACTTAGTTCATCTTTCCTTCTCCTGCTTTGCCCCAATTCTGGATACTGGTGTGGAAATTCAGACACTACACAACATGGTTAAGGAAAAGCTCCTCATTGGACATGGGTCTGGTCAGGCCAGAGTTCATCCACTGGCCCTTCTTCTCGTCGAGGCTTGAGATCATTGCAGCTGTTCATCAGAGGAGTTCAAAACTTGGTGGCCCTGATCATCAGACCTTCTACTTTGAGTCGAATCACAGTGACTGTGAAAGGGTCTCATTGTTGTTGCCCAGCTATCTAAATTTCTGGGCCTATCTCCAGTGTATTAAATTTCTTTTATCCTTTTGTGTACAGGTGTCAGGGTACTGCGGTATTCTTCTGGGAAGCCCGATCATCCTGTATGAGCTGATCGCCTTTGTTCTGCCCGGTCTAACAGTGTCAGAGAGAAGATTCTTGGGGCCTATCGTCTTTGGTTCTTCTGTTCTCTTCTATGCTGGTGTTGCCTTCTCTTACGCAGTCCTCACTCCAGCAGCTCTAAACTTCTTTGTGTCCTATGCGGAAGGGGCGGTGGAGTCGTTGTGGTCAATTGATCAGTACTTTGAGTTTGTGCTGGTTCTCATGTTCAGCACGGGCCTCTCTTTCCAGGTCAACTCTCGAACAGATCCCTCTCTCTCTCACTAAGCCTAGTATTTGATCCACTCGACTTATCTCCAGTTGGTTTCTTTCTTGTAATTATTATTTTTTTCCTAATAAAAATGACCGTATGAGATCGACTCAGTTCATTTCCAATAGCCTTCTTCTTTGTAATTTCTTTTATCTGGCTGCTTGATTTATTTCCGTCCTGCTTCTTCCTGGTAAATGTTGCTTTCTGAGGATGAAACTGAACATCGGCTCAATTCATTTCGAATCTCACTCTTTGTTGTAATTCTTGCAGTTTTGATGAATAAAATCAGTTGATTCGATTGACCCGATTTATTATTTTATTTAATTACATTCGTTGTTTTAATCATTCGTTTTTTGATGAATAAAATTGAAGGTAATCAATTGACCCAATTTATTTTTAATCGCCTCTGATGTTGTAATTATTCCAATCCAATCGACCTGATTTTCGTCCAATCTCATCATTTGTGCTAATTATTGCTATTTTTGGTTAGAACCGAACGTATTTGGTTGACCTCGTTAGTTCCCAATATCATTCTTTGGTGTAGTTATTACTGTTCTGGGGATGAAATTGGTCAAACCTTTGTCAGCAAGGTTAAGAAGATGACCGCGCTCTCTAATTCTCTTACTCTCCAACTCTCTTTGTGCTGATTCTCGAGGATTGGGTTGACTGCAGGTGCCGGTCATACAGCTCATACTGGGACAGGTCGGCCTGGTGACCGGAGATCAGATGCTGTCCATTTGGAGATATGTTGTGGTGGGGGCCGTCGTGGCGGCGGCGGTGCTCACGCCGTCAACCGACCCGTTGACCCAGGTGCTGCTGGCGGGGCCGCTCATGGGCCTCTACCTTGGCGGCGCTTGGATAGTCAAGCTGACCGGCCGATGATCTGCCCAGCCGTCGCCTCCTTCATGTATCATACACCCGAAGGAAATATAGATGGTTTCGCTTGAATTTTATGGCATTCTTGGCTCATATCTCAATCAAGATCGTCCTTTTATCATACCTAACCCCCCCCCTCCCCCATTTCCCTCTCTCTCTAGCTTGTGCAACCTTCCTCACTCAAAAGCCCGGCCCGGATGAGGTACGGGTTTTTACGGGCTTTTTCTTTTCTGGGCCGGGGACTGTGAGAAAACGTGTGGGCTCGGCCCGCTTGAATTTGTTCATTTTAAGGCATTCTTGGCTCGTATCTCAATCAAGATCGTCCTTTTACCACCCCCCTTCATTTCCCTCTCTCTCTCTCTCTCTCTCTCTCTCTAGCTTGTGCAACCCTCTCTCAAAAGCCCGGCCCGGATGAGTTATTTCGGGCTTTTTTATGGCCCCGGGACGTTGAGAAAATGAGTGGGCTTGGCCCCGCTTGAATTTGTTCCAACTATTTGCTTAAAAGATGGATTTTTTCCGATCATTATTATCATGGCGCTGATGCCCGAAACCTATAACCGAGAGGGTTTACCCAAATCGACGGCCAGGATTCGCCTCATCGCCCTAGAAGGGCTTCTCCGCCGTCTTCGGCTTCACGGTGGCGGCGAGAGCGGCGGCAGGGCCGGTGGCATGCGGTGGCGGCGGCGTCGGGAGGAGGGGTGGCGAGTCTGATCGGCTCCCTTGCTGATTTGGTCGCTCTGTTCCTGAGGAATCGGAGGCGATGATTGGGAGCTCACTCTGCCGATTAGGTCGCCGGTTAATTCCTGTGCATCGGCCGATGAACATGGTGTTGCAGCGGCGCTACTCCGCGGCGGCGGCGAGGGAGGAGACGCGGGATCAGGAGGAGGAGCAGGAGGAGATGTTCGACCAGAGGAAGCTGCCTGCCGACTATGATCCGGTCAACTTTGATCCCGCAGAGCACCGGAGTCCGCCCAGCGCGCGAGTGTGGCGCCTCGTTGATGAGATCTCTGGTCTGACTCTCGCCGAAGTGGCCGAACTCTCTGGTATCATCATGCGGAAGCTGAACATGAAGGAGCCTCCCGTGATCGGAGTTATGAAGGGCGGGGATGGCGGCGGCACGGGGGTGGCGGCGGCGAAGGGAGCCGCAGGGAAAGAGGAGAAGAAACCGGAGAAGAGCGTGTTCGAGCTGAAGCTGGAGTCGTTCGACGCGGCCTCCAAGATCAAGGTGATCAAGGAGGTGAGGGGGTTCACCGACCTAGGCCTAAAGGAGGCAAAAGAGCTCGTCGAGAAAGCGCCTGTTGTGATCAAGGGTGGGCTTACTAGGGAGGAAGCCGAGCAGATCATCGGTAAGATGAATGCCGCCGGAGCAAAGGTGGTGATGGAGTAAACGAGAATCAGAAGCTCTGATGCGATAGGTACTTCATCTGTCCATTTTTGATAGTGAGAGCATATTTTCAGTGGAGCGATTGTGCTACGTCGCCGCCCGATGGATCGGATGCTGGAGCATTATTTCAGAATTTCTATCCTCTCTCTCTCTCTCTCTTCCACTCCTGATGTTCTTAGGGTTCCTGCAACCTGAATATATCTGCAGAATCAAGGCAGCAATCCGTCTTCTCCGTGGAAAATGTGCCCGGCACGTTTGAATTCTCTTATCGGATTACTCGATCACGTACTGAGGTGGAGATATCTATTCAATGGAAACTTTACGAGTCCAATTGTGCTACGTCACCGAGTTTTTCTTGAAGATCGCCTCACATGATTGATTCTTCCCAGTTGTGTTCCAAATGGGAAAAATATCATCCGATTGTCGAGAAAATCTGGTTGCAGCTCATGTAAACACACACAACCAGAGAGGAACGCGGAATCTCTGAAGATATACCTGCTCCCAAAATCTTGGGTCGGCTCATGCTTAGCTCATGTTTCAGTTCCTTTTTCCAATCTGTTCCCACTCCGCTCAACCTTGTAGCCGATCTCTTTCCTAGATGCTGACCCAGTTCTTCGATTGTGCTATTTCTTTCCGGTTTCCGCTGACAAAATTTTCCAAAATTGTGGGCGTGGGACCTGAGTTTCCTCTTTTTTTCCGAAGAATGCTGATATCAGACCGAAAAAAAGCAATATTTTTTTCCTCATACAGTCGATGACTGAAAGTTGTTCAAGAACATAACGTGAGTTAGCATAGCCTCATCTGCATCTCGTCAAGGTCTAGTTACCACGGCTAAATTGCCATTCTCCTTGTGGCTCCATGGTTCATACAGATCATGCTCTGTATAATTAGTTGCGAACTATCTTCCTATAGGCCTCTTTATAAGTTTTCATTCACATAATTCCAAAGGGAATCATCTAGCACCATCAATGGCGTCTTCTCTATCGTCCCAAGCTTCTTGCGGAGAACATACGAAGAGATGTCTCAGAATCTGGTCTGATCAAGGGGTCCTGGCGAGTGAGTTGGCGTGACGTCCTCTCTCTCTCTCTCTCTCTCTCTCTATATATATATATATGTATTGTATTATATTTAATATATATATCTCAGTTGTCCTGTGGTGCTCGGGGGTGGACCAGACAAGAGGCCAGAAGAATTCGGGACCCGAGTTGAAGATCCCCTGCTGTCCTTATGCTGAGAATCTGAAGCTAAGCTACGAGGGCATCATTCTTCCAAGCTGCCGTCGGGTCACCTCAATCAAGCGGAGAAGCTTCAAGGACGAAGAAGGACGGCCTGGTTCTGCTCCAACTTCCGGCAGAAGACCCTCCCTGGTCGTGCTTCTCCTCCTGCTGAGAGGGGGAGAATGGGCGTGGGAGATGGGGACCTCGCACAGTTGGATGCCCCTCTCATCCCAAGTCCGGCGGCGGGATTGGGGTCTCATGTGGAAGGCGGCGACGCCGCCTCCGGCGGTCGGAGCTTCGCAGGTCTGCTCGGAGAGGTGGAGAGGCAGGTTTGGCTGGCCGGGCCCCTCGTGGCCGTGAACCTCCTGCAGTACTGCTTGCAGGTGATCTCTCTCATGTTCGTCGGGCACCTCGGAGAGCTCGCCCTCTCGGGGGCTTCCATGGCCACCTCCTTCGCCAACGTCACTGGTTTCAGCGTTCTGGTACGCTGTTCTCACCTTACCCTTTTGTCTTCAACACGAGACATGAAATCTGAGATTGATGAAATCCTAAAGATGCAAATAGTGGCCCTTCTTCTGTATTTTTTTTTATATCTCTGTAAAACCATAGAACGCAGCTTACAGTTTGTTTTTTTTTTTTTCAATGCTAAATTTAGATGCTTTCTCCATTTGTACCACCCATTAATGGACCATCATCCTCCTCCCTCATCCCCCCATGCAGCTGGGCATGGGAACCGCTCTGGATACCTTATGTGGGCAAGCCTACGGAGCAAAGCAGTATCATATGCTCGGCATTCATCTGCAGAGGGCCATGGTCGTCCTCCTCCTTGCAACCATTCCCCTGTCTCTGATCTGGGCCTCCACCAGCCGGATCCTCATGGCTCTTGGACAGAACCCCGAAATAGCAACTGAGGCCGGGCTGTACGCTCTCTGGATGATTCCGGGTCTTCCTGCATATGGGCTCACTCAGTGCCACATCAGGTTTCTTCAATCCCAGAACATAGTCGTTCCGATGGTGGTGATCTCCGGCGTCACAGCTTTGCTCCACATACCCCTCTGCTGGATTCTGGTCTTCGTGGCGGGCCTCGGCGGCAAGGGCGCCGCATTGGCGGTCGTGATTTCTCACTGGCTCAACTTGTCTCTCTTAGCACTCTATGTGAATCTCTCCGGGGCCTGCAAGAGGACCTGGACTGGTTTCTCAAAGGAGGCACTGCATGACACCGTTAACTTTGTTAGGCTCGCCGCCCCTTCGGCCGCCATGATCTGGTGAGTCGAGGATTTCCTTTTCTGGGTTGTCATCAAATTACTTTTTATTTATTTATTTATCATGTTTCTTGGCTCTCTGGTGCAGTCTGGAGTATTGGTCGTTTGAGATGGTGGTTCTCTTATCTGGTCTTCTTCCTAACCCCAAGCTGGAGACATCGGTTCTCTCAATCAGGTCAGCAATCTTCGGCCTTGGTAACTATCTGTTGATGCAGGAGCAGCAGCACGAGGAGGGGAACGATCTCCTTGAATGGGATATTTATGCCTAAAAATAGTAATTCATGGATGCTCTCTGAGAGGTGTTCTGTGTGATTCCCTGACTGACGATCTCCATGCACCTTCCAGCCTCAGCACCATGTGGATGGTCTACATGATCCCCACCGGCCTCGGCAGCGCTGTGAGGTAGAACACACAGAGCTCTCAGACCCATCAACCCTTTCTCTCTCTTTCTCTCTCTCTCTCTATCCCTATCACTTTGGGCTTGTTTAGTATCAGAGTTTCGAATGAGCTTGGAGCTGGGAACGCCCGCGGTGCGCGCTCTGCGGTGCGCGCCGTCCTCATAATCGCGACCACCGAGGGCCTGCTCGGGGCGTTGGCCACCGTTCTGGTTCGGAATGTCTGGGGTTACCTATACAGCGAGGAAGAAGAGGTCGTGAAGTACGTCGCCGCCATGATGCCCATCCTTGCTGTCTCCGACTTCATGGACGGCATCCAGTGTGCTCTCCAAGGTACCAGCTCTTGTACTGCGTCTTCCTCGAAGGCTGTGAGAAAACCCTAAAACCTCTGGAACTCTCAGGTGCTGTCAGAGGTTGCGGGTGGCAGAAGGCCTGTTCCCTGCTGAACCTCGCGGCCTACTACGTCGTCGGCGTTCCCTCGTCGGTGCTGTTCGCCTTCGTCTTCCACACCGGCGGCAAGGTTGGTCCAATCTGTTCTTCATCCCTCCATAGCCAGTAGCCTCCAAGCTCTGTGATTTACAGTCTCTGAGGGCCTGGGAGCTTGTTGCAGGGGCTCTGGATGGGCATAATATGTGCGCTCTGCGTTCAAGTGTTCGTCCTCCTCGCCATGCTCCTCAACACGGACTGGGACCATGAAGTGAGTTATCCTCCCTCTCCCTTCTCACCTCCGTTAATGGCGACTCCCCACCCTCCCTCAAGCTGGGCTTTGCTCAAAATCGTTCCGTTAATGGAAATTTGACCTCCACAGATGGTTCAATCCGAACCCTAACTCATCTTTGTATTAAATTCGGTAATTCTATGTGGTCTTTTTTGCTCTGACTTAGGTGGGAGTATCACTGGATAGAGTCCACGGCTCTGGAGTTGCTGCCCTGGCTGACCCATGAAGCTTCTTTATTTTCATATTTTTTGTAATTATTTTATTATTTTAACTATGATAATTAATGAATGCTTGTTTTTGGCTTATTTTCTTTTTTAAAGTCTAATTTAAAATATCTTAATATGAATATTATTTATAAATCCATTACTTCTTAGCGTAATTAAAGAATCGAGGAGAGAGAATGAAGCTGTTGACTATTTGTATCCGTACGATCTTCTTAGCTGCCTATGGATATGGCCGAGCCCATTATGAGCCCGATAAGGATTGAACAAACCCATTAGTGCGCAAGAAGGAGAAGCCCACGTATGTTTTGGTAGCCCAATAACGGCCCACCTCCCGCTCTGGATGGAAAACCTAATTTTCCAGGGAGGAAGGGCAACTGGTCGGGTCGGTGGCTCATTTCCTGTGATTAAACCCTAGGGCCATGGCGTCACGCAGGGTCCTCTCCAGCCTCCTCAGATCGTCTGCTCGTCGCTCCACGGCCCCGGCGAGGTCCGCATTTGGTGGTCACAGGGGCCCCTCGCCGTCCCCGATCGGCCGGCCATCGCCGGTCGGGTACCTCCTCTCCCGCGCCCTTCAATATGCCACCGCGGCCGCGGCTCCGGCTCCGCCGGCGTCTTCGCCCGAGAAGGTCACCGGCGGGAAGATCACCGACGAGTTCACCGGCGCCGGTGCGATCGGGCATGTGTGCCAGGTCATCGGCGCCGTCGTGGACGTCCGCTTTAGTGACGGAGGTCTGCCGCCGATCCTGACGGCGCTGGAGGTGCTGGACAACTCGATCCGGTTGGTGCTCGAGGTGGCACAGCATCTGGGGGAGAACATGGTGAGGACGATTGCCATGGACGGGACGGAAGGTCTGGTGCGCGGCCAACGGGTCTTGAATACCGGTTCTCCGATCACGGTAACCTTTCCCCCCCCCCTGGAAAGTACCTACTTGCTGTGTACATGATGAGATTATCCTGATCGGGCGGTGCTTTAGATTTTCTGAGTTTTCGGATCTCTACTTACTGGAGTTTGAATTTTAGTCATTTCGCATTTTAATCAGTCACTTTATGGTATTCACATTTTTTGGATGTTTGCGCCATTGCGTTTTTCGTTGCTGCATTTGGAAATTTTGTTGCTAGTCTGTTTTTGAGCATGGCTTTCGTGATGTTTTTAACCGAGATCTTTTCTCTTTTACCAGTAATTTCTCTGAAATTGCTCTTGATGCTTTTCATCGTCAGAATCCTCCGTCATTGTATTATGAATGGCTTTCGTCATTGTATCGTCTACTGAAATTGATTAATTTCTTGGTTTACTTTTGTGGATTAGGTGCCTGTTGGGAGGGCCACCCTTGGGCGTATCATGAATGTTATTGGTGAGCCGATTGACGAGAAGGGTGATATAAGTAAGTTGAAAATGGTTGATTGCATATCTCTTTCACACTTCTAATGGGCTCTCATCATGGCGCTAACTATTTACGCTTTTCTCGCATTGCATCAGAAACCGACCATTTCCTTCCAATTCATCGTGAAGCTCCCGCATTTGTCGAACAAGCAACCGAACAACAGATTCTTGTTACTGGAATCAAGGTTTATTTATCTAACCATCCACTTTCGATCATACGCAGATGGAATGGTCCATGGTTTGATATTGATTCTGACTACTGTTATCTTCAACGTCTCACTTTCCAATTCTCATGCATGCCTTAGGTTGTGGACCTCCTTGCACCCTACCAGCGAGGTGGAAAGATTGGGCTCTTTGGTGGTGCTGGTGTGGGAAAGACTGTGCTTATCATGGAGCTAATCAACAATGTCGCGAAAGCTCATGGTTTGTTTACTGGCGTGTTTTTTGTGCCCTCTGTTTTATTCTTCACCGAATGATGTATTTATCAGTTTCACTTGTTAGGTGGTTTTTCTGTCTTTGCTGGTGTCGGAGAACGAACCCGAGAGGGTAATGACTTGTACAGGGAGATGATTGAAAGTGGTGTCATCAAGCTTGGTGACAAGCAGGTCTCTACACAAATTTTTTCTTATTTTATATAGATTATTATTTAATGTGCTTTTTCTGATAATTTCGAAGGCTTAAAATCCTCTCCTTTTTTGTCTTCAGAGTGAGAGCAAGTGCGCTCTTGTTTATGGACAGATGAATGAGCCCCCGGGAGCCCGTGCCCGTGTTGGTTTGACTGGACTTACCGTGGCTGAGCATTTCAGAGATGCAGAAGGACAGGATGTGCTTCTCTTTATTGATAATATTTTCCGTTTTACCCAGGTGAATCTTCTATAACTTTACAAGAGGCTCGTAACAGGAAATTATGTATTCAAGTATGCATATGTATGTTCATGTATCGATCTCATGTTGTCATTTTATGGTCTAGGCAAACTCCGAAGTGTCTGCTTTGCTTGGTCGTATACCATCTGCTGTTGGTTATCAACCAACTTTGGCCACTGATCTTGGAGGACTCCAAGAACGAATCACAACTACCAAAAAGGGTTCCATCACCTCTGTTCAAGCTATTTATGTGCCTGCTGATGACTTGACGGATCCAGCTCCTGCTACCACCTTTGCCCATCTTGATGCCACGACTGTGTTGTCTCGACAGGTTTGTTGCTCTTGTCACACACTTTGGTTGGTGCAAATTCACTTTGGTTACTGATATTTAATGGTCATTGTTCTCTCTATATAGATCTCAGAGCTTGGTATCTATCCTGCTGTCGACCCTCTTGACTCTACATCTAGAATGCTTTCTCCCCACATTTTGGGTCAAGATCACTACAATACTGCTCGTGGAGTTCAGAAGGTTCTTCAGAACTATAAGAATCTCCAAGATATCATTGCCATTCTGGGGATGGATGAGCTCAGTGAAGATGACAAGTTGACTGTGGCCCGTGCCAGAAAGATCCAACGTTTTCTTAGCCAGCCTTTCCACGTTGCTGAAGTTTTCACCGGTGCCCCTGGAAAGTATGTGGAATTGAAAGAGAGCGTGAACAGCTTCCAGGTAATTCTTGCTCGTCATTCATAGTAACAGTAAATCTTTCCCCAAGTATTTTTTTCATTTGAACGAGAAATGGTTGTAATCGGAAATTTGTTCTGGCTTCATGTTCTTTATATCTCTCATGCAAAAAAAAAAATTAGGTAGGATGCATTAAATATGAATTGAGAGTAATATTCATGTTTTGAGATCATGGGCCCAAATATTTATTTCCGATGATCGTCTGTGCTTTGTCTTATTGTATTTCATCTAGTTTGTGCTCACAGTGTTTTCTGTTAACAGTTGTGCTTACAAGTTCTATCCTGCAAATGTGTGGGGGATAACAGATGCCATAAATGCCCTAAATTTGAAGTAGTTTAAGTGTGTCTTAATATTGATTGATGGTTTGATGCGTCCGTCTGCACCTACATATGATCCTTCACTGTAGCATCTTATGGGTCTTAACAGAAACCCACCGTTGGACAAGTGATACACCATTCAATTAACATATAATCGATCGAGTCAACTGGAATAAATCTGTCACTGAAACCAACCTAACAGAAAATAATTAATTTTAATCTAAATCTTTTTTGGCAGTTCATCTGATGTTTTGGTAGGAGCATCTCTTGGTTTCATCTCCTTTCCTCTCCCCCAAGGCTTGCTCTTCGTTCTCCCTTGAGAATCTACTGTTGCTAGATGTGTGGCGACTGAAATCTGTTCATTAGCAACACGATTTAGTCTAGTCCTTCAGAACCCGTTATTCTTTGCAGCAATGTGATACAATGTTGTGTACAGCTAGTCACCAAGATCGTCATATGCAGAGCTGCTGATGAATGAATGCTCCATTCTTTAAAACGCTGCGGTCTGATGTCTGTCCATCTCCTAGTCTTGATCTTAATGTTGGCATGAGATCATCCTCAGTTTTTCTGTCTGACGTGTAAATCTCTCTCCAGCTCTTCTTAATCTCACCTAATCCGATCGTTTTCCTTGATAATTCTACATCTTAAGGATGCTGTTTAGTCTGTGGATGCGAAGAAATCTGAGGCACTATCTGCTGCCACGATGCTCTCTCTCTCTCTCTCTCTCTCTCTCTCTCTCTCTCTCTCTCACAGGGTGTTCTGGATGGGAAGTACGACGATCTCCCGGAGCAGTCCTTCTACATGGTTGGAGGGATCGAGGAGGTGATTACAAAGGCCGACAAGATCGCCAAGGAGTCTGCTGCCTGAGTGAAGTCTTCTCTTCCACCCATCTCTTCTACATTAATAACACAGGGCGGCGCCGCCAGGCCCAGTCTCTCACTCAACCTAGGATTCTTTCTTTTTCCCTCTTATGGTCAGCAGAGAACTCCTGGCTTTTTGCTTGGTTTCAGAGACCATGGGGCAAATGGGTTGTGTTGGATGGGGTGGGAGGGACCTTTCTCCCTTGGGCTCTTCTCTCTCTCTCTCTCTCTTTGTGACTGCACTGAGGTACATTCAATCGCCGGGGGAATGAGGAACTCTCTGTCTTCTTTTTAATGGACCCAATTTCTGTCTGTTTCCAATTCTTTTTTTGTTCTATTGATTTTGATTTTATAGAGATAATTTGATGGTTTAACTGGGAATAGTAGCAGGCAGGCATCATCTCCCCCATTAAGAATCTGGCCACGGCTGGGGAGAGAGAGAGAGAGAGAGAGAGAGAGAGAGAGAGAGAGAGAGAGAGAGAGAGAGAGAGAGAGAGAGAGAGAGAGAGAGAGAGAGAGAGAGAGAAAGAAAGAGAGAGATGCAGCAGCTCTAAAAAAATGAGGGGTTTATTTGCCTAATTTCCCACTGCCGGAGAGAGAGAGAGAGAGAGAGAGGCAGCAGCTTTAAAAAATTAAGGGTTTATTTGGTAATTGGCATAATTTGTGTTTATTTGATAATTTGGCTAATTTGTGTAACCCAGAAGAAAAAACCTAAATAAATTCAGCTCATGAACCCCACCCCCCCTTTGTTTATTAGTTGACAGCTCTCAGACAATATTTGATGATAAAAAATGCGAAAAAGATCTTTTTATTTTCATAGAAAAAAATAATGCAGCATTTTTTATAATTATCGGATTTATACGTAGCTGCTAAAAAGTCCTCTTATTAAAAAGTCATCCGTCGTCATAAAGCGACAAAAAATAACGTACAAACGGTGAGGAGCCCATCGCTCCAACGGCCAAGACGAGCCTCCGACTGTGTTTAACGGTAACCGTAGCCCGTACGCTGAAAAGGTAGTCGCCAGAGGATGTGGACGTGGCGTTCCCTTATTGGAGGTGTTATTCAACGAGGAGGAATACCGTCACTTAATTGAGGTTACCGCCCTGGTTGACGGTACTACTACTAGTCTGTTCTACCTCTGCACGATCGCTAGTACAACCTCCGGGGGCGGGCCGGCAGGGTTCTGCCACGGCCTCTCTCTCCCTCTCTCTCCAGACTCGGGAGGAATTCCGAAGGGCGTCGTGTTGGACTTCCCGCTCCGCTCCCTCGGGCAGCCGATCTCCCCCCCTCCTTCGCTCCCCTCCCCCTCCACCTCTCTCCTCGAGCACGGCCGATCTAGGATTCCATTCCTTCCTCTCCGACCTCATCTCTTGTTGTTCTTCTTCTTCTTCTTCTTCCTCTTCTTCGTTGTTTTTGTCGTCGTTGGCGTCCGCGTCTTCATCCCATGTCTCCTTTGTATGTTGGGCTGGTCGCCTTGGTGCTCCTCGTGTTCGCGCGATTCGATGGGGCTTCTGGTGATGCGTCTTCTTCCTGGGAGCGGGATGCTGGTCCTCGGCGGGCGCTTCTCCGTGATCTAGTAGGCGGCGGTGGCGAGCTCCCCGACGCCGCCTTGGAGCTGAATACCTCAACTTTCGATGCCGTCCTGGGGCGGTCGCCCGCACGGTTCGCAGTGGTAGAGTTCTTCGCTAGCTGGTGAGGTCCTCCATTTGCTCATATTCCCATGTTTTGTTCTGTTTGCCGATCGAATCCGGTAATTCTTTTTCTTGGTTTTTCCGAAATCACGGAACAATCAATTTAGTAATGGTGTCCATGATCTGATGATACTTGTTGTTCATTGAACTGCTTTGTTCACAATTCTCCTAATTTTTCCCCTCGATGAATCGATGAGGAACCTTTCTGGAAATTACTACCAGTGAGGTCGACGGCAGGTGCTGTAGAATCCTTCCCCGCAACCACCAGCGTCCGGTCTCGCCATCCAATTTGATGGTTTATTTTCCTCGCATAACCACTCCCGAGTGTAAATAACAACGATAACGTAGAACCAGCCTAATTTCATTGTACCGCATTTCTCGTAAGTTTCTATTTGATGGATTACGTTACTGACATGAATGGTCCTCCCGTGTTTTTCTATAAAAAATATTTCCTTTAATTTAGGAATATCTTTTGTTTATTTTCGGCTCATTCCTTTTATGTGTGTTTTGGCTACCAAGCATTTTTCTCAATGACTTCCCGTTGTTGATTGCCTTTGCTTTCCTTTGATCGTAAAGACTACTGATATGAAATAGAAAAATTACTTGATCATATCTTTTTTTTCTCATTATACGATATTTCTTGTAAATGGAGACTTTTGGACGATATGCTGCAGGGAATGGTTTGGTGTCGTGTCCTCGTAACAATTCCTGCGGTTCGTGAATCATTTTTTATCTCTGCTTTAATCTTGCCTTTTGTTTTAGTTTCGGTCACTTACCGGTTTTGCGACTCGGTTATTTGTTTCCTCCAAATTTCTTCCTCTTTAGCGCGAACAGAAATTCTGATCAGCCACTGGTACTGAATACTGCAGGTGTCCTGCTTGCAGAAATTATAAGGTATCTCTGTCATCGATGCCAAATCTGGTGGCCTTTCATTCGTAACTGATTTGTTGTTCAATCAACAAATATACAGCCTCATTATGAGAAAGTTGCGAGGATTTTTAATGGAGCTAATGCAGTGCACCCCGGAATCGTAGTCATGACTAGGGTAGATTGTGCACAAAAGGTATGCAGTTCGAGTGATTTTCATTTGATCAGAATGTGAAATTATATGTGATAATTTTGCTCTATATTTTGCCTTTGTGCTTTCATTAAAGACGGAATAAATGCACTGACTATTTCACGCATCATATTGGTTACCTTGATTTCGTGCTAGCAAGTTTTCCACTCCATTTTTGTTCATGCCTAAAGGATCTCATATGATAAACAAATGTGGGTCGTCAAATGTACTGATGTGCTAGATGTTTCTGGAATGCAATGCAAAAGTGGTAAATTGGACTAGAGATTAGAAGATACATTCGAACGTGTTTCTGATGCATCTCTTCTTTTTTTTTTGTGTGGTGGCACAGATGAATGTGAAACTTTGTGATAGATTTTCAGTTTCTCATTATCCCACGCTTCTATGGGGTCCTCCTTCTAAGTTTATATCCGGCAAATGGAGCCCTGAGAAAGAGGACAGTGGAATACAAGCTATAGATAATGGACGCACTGCAGAAATTCTACTAAACTGGATTAACGAGAGACTTGGAAGGCAAGCACTCAAACCTTCGTTTCGAGTAACCTTTTTTTATAAAATCTGGTAACCTTATTGAGAAAAATTAATTCCTTTCGACTACCTGCTTTTGTCTCTCTTATGTTTTTCTTTTTTAGGCCGGAGCAGATGCTAACAGACTATCTGAAAATGTCTTCTGCATCTTTTTTCAATCTTAGCTCTCCCTGTCTTCGATTTTTTTTTTCCGCTATCTATTTCATAAGAATAGGTATGAGTTGTGGGATATCTTTGAGCGGGAGACACCTAAACATAGACATTATTTTCTTCACTCATTGTTTGGGGATCGGTGATAGGAAAAAAAATTAGGTCACTTTTCCTATTTTAATGCGATGAAGTCACGGATAGAGTCTAAGGTTATGAATATTGCTAAGGCGAAGCCTAAGTGAAGAAGATTCTTCAAATTAAAGTAGATTCTTATTGGAATAAAGTTATGTATGCGCAGAACTCTTGACTTCCTTATGTGGGCGGTCTTCTATAATTTTGATCCTACTTTTTTTTAGCCATTCAAATTCAGCACCTGGTGCAAATATCATATTGTACGACGGTTGTTTGATGTTCATGTGAAGCATACATTGGCTTATACCTGGGGTTGCTTTGATTGCTCATTGTATATGGAACCGGATACTGGGTTGTAGTCATTAGGCGGTTCACAGAGGCCATCTGGATGTTCTGAAATATTGATAATACGGCATTGCAGCGAGTCAGGAAAGACCTTTTTTACTGACCAGCGGTTACTGACGAGCGAGCGACCAGAGGTGTGTGCAATAATTATCCCGATTGCAACAACGCCCCCTTAAAGGATCTAGCATATAATCAAATGAATTTGAATGGAATGAACATTTTGCTTATTTATGTACTCACCAACTTGCCATGGTCTGACAATCTTGGCCAAATCAGGCTCTGTGGCCAACTTGGAAACTTGAAAAGCAACTAGGGCGTGGGCCATATTAGGTCAGATGCATCAGTGTTCTGGAAAGGAGGATAGACAATCTCGCTGTTGCGATCACCATCCGCCATTAAGATACAATTATGCGTATTTGCCACTGCCAGTGTTCACGGATATTCCCACTACTCATACCTTCCCTGATTTTCTTCGTCTTCCATCTGCCCCCTGTGAAACTTTAGGCCCTTCATCGTTTTCTGGAGCAGAAGGTAACAATTACTATACAGTAAGAGAGATCAATGGGTCTATTCTTCCGTTTTAATATCATTTATTCAGGAATATACCTCTTAAAATGTAAACATGGGAGTCATATTTTTGAATTTTTACCAACCCAACGTCGGTCATATTTGGGATTCATTTGAGGTCAGCAACAGTTGGATGCAAAGGACTAACTGGGTATCAAATTGGCCCAGTATGTGGTTTGGTGTTCCCACGCTGTTCCAAGTCTGATCTACCTATGGCATGACCAAGTTTGGGCTATCTCTGTGAGGATGTCAAGGCAATTTGCGAGGAGTCAATAAACCATGGCGTCCAGTTACATAATAAAATGGGGGATCAAGTGGTAAAAGTTAAGAATCGCATCAAATTTTCCTAGAAATCATAATTTCCTTTCCAAAATTTGTTCTTAGTGCTATCCGCATATGTAGTGTGTTTTTCATTAAATGAAAGAAGGAATGAAGAGAAAGTAAATGATACGTACATGGTGATTATAATTTATTTGGGGATCTATCTATTTTTACTTAAATCCTAAGCATTGAAAGATAGGCCTATCCGTTGTAATTTACTGATCATACCTTTGTGATATACCCACTAACAACTTTCGAATTACATGATGCAGAGGTATTTACTCGGGATTAATTGACCAATGTCTGCATGCCTTATCTAGGATTATTAATATAGGCATCTGTTGTTCCTTTGCAGCTTTTTGTATTTCCAATACTATATTCTATTATCCTTTTTAGCCGGACATGGATAGAGTTCACCTTTTTTGTTGGGATATGAATCAAATCTAATTCGTATGTATGAATCTTATCTGATACCTCACTATTTTCAGCTCATTCGGTTTACAATACGAAAAATTTGACAATGAAAATACTCTTCTGCATAATCCATCAGATCCAGAGCAGGTAGTTTCTGTAGAACCTTTTTTGGGCTAAGTTATGTTTAGTCAGTTTTTTTATAGCTATTTTTGGCACGCGGTAATTTTCCGTTTGGTATTTCTGTAATTTAATTTTAGCGAGCACCTTTTCATTACTTTGTGTACTTGATTCAAGATTTCTCGGGCTATCTATGATGTTGAAGAGGCAACAGTGGAAGCATTCAACATCATTTTACATCACAAGGTTATAGATATCCTTAATTTTCAATGGATTAAGTTTCTACGGCTTTTTCATTTCTCATATTTGTTGTACGATGCTCAGATGATCAAGCCAAAGACCCATGCTCCTCTTATAAAGTTCTTCCAGCTTATTGTTGCTCATCATCCTTCCAAAAGGTTCAAGCAGAAAGCTTCCTCATAGATTTTGTCATCTGCGATCCGCTGCTTTCTCATTTACAGTAGAAATTCACTAATAGGTGCCGGAGGGGAAGTGCTGAGGTTCTGGTGAACTTTGATGACTTGTGGCCTTTGAATTCTTCTTCGGCCAGTTCAAAAGACATTGATATTCCCAATGAGAATAGTGCCATAACAAATTTTCATATTTGTGGAAAGGAAGTTCCGCGTGGATATTGGGTGAGTATGTTGGCCTTTTGGTCCCTATTCTTAGAATTTGGTTTCTCCATACTGAACTAATTGTCAAATAACAAAGTATGGCTACTGTGCTACTATCAATATTTTTTTTTTTTCTCAGTTTAGATGCATGCATCATTTGCTGATTATTTTCAGTTCATTTTTTATTGTAATCCTGGGACTCTGAGCTCTTGAATAAACTTTTTTCTTCCTCAAAACCTTATAAGCAGATAATGGAAATAAGAATGCAGCCAGCAGTCGGATAACTGTGAAACTATCTTTCATGGTGATTATTGTGGACACAGGAATTTGCAGCAGGAATCGTATTAAAAAGAAAGTTCGTCTGCTTGTCGAGTTATTATTTGGTTTGGTTATATAAGATCAGAGGATTGGTGAGAGTACTGTGCAAGCAGATTGGACAGCCGTTTGTTATTTTGGGGAGGTCGGAAAGCTTTAGTTATCTGAACGTTGCTTGATGTAGGCCAAAGTTTCTGTTAATGGTTTTGGGTCTCAATGGGTTTAGTTTTTGATACGATTCCCTTCTCTCCTCTTAGACAAAGAAGGGAAAACGAGCAATGTATTCAAAGAAAACAGAGAAAACAATGAACAGACAGGAATTAATTCGAGAGAATTCCCCACTCTCTCTTTCCTCTCGTGACCTTCTACCGTGATACCCCCTCTTATTCACAGAGGAGGGTATTTATATTGTTCAGCCCGTTCCTATCCCAGTGTTTACTACATAAACTTGTAGACTATTCTCTTATGGCGAACATGTTTTTACGGGTATTGTATCAGTTTTTTTTGACAATCTAATGATATTGTGGCGCCACCCACTTAAAGAAAATGAATTTCCAATTTCTCTAGGAAGAACCAACCCTGAATTTCAGTTATTTTTGCCTGGAAACTGTGATTCCCTTGTAATCTGAATCTGTGAGATTTTCAACGGTGATGAGTTTGTGTTTGCATATTTTTTCTCAGAATTTCGGGACGAAATGGTAGAAACTCGTCTGACTGATATATTTTTTTGGTTGATAGCATCGTAAGTCTCTCTAAACTTGCTTATTAATATCATCATATCAATGATGCTGCAGATATTTTGTCGTCGGAGTAATAATGAAACCAGGGATTTCAGGTGAGTAGAACTCTTATCCTCTCATATTTCTTTTCATTGTATCACTTTTAACTATCAGATGTCGATGTGTCTAGCTCTCTCTTTTTTCTTCTTTTTTTTTTGTTGAAAATTTTTGGTGGCCTGTCCGTGTTACATCACTGATATGAAACAGTAACTTGGCTAAAAAGCCTGGCAAAGCCTGGCAATTGAACCCTAGACGGATCCAATTGCAGCACCTACATAGGGAGGTTTATAGAAACATCTCTGGTAAGAATTTCTCCAAAATAATAGCCTTTTTAAGACAATTTCTTCAAAAATAGTGCCCCCCCCCCTTCCCACCCCTGTTCTTACTCTCTCATGGCCTGGGGATGCGTCGAGTTTCCTCTTTCCCACTATGTTCTGTTCATAGCATCAACCCTACACATTCCGCCCATTCGATCTCCCTCATTCATCAGTCCACTAGCTTTTGGGTTTGCTTTCATGGTGTTCTTATCTGGTCACATCACATCAAGCACTTATTCATTTTCTTTCCCTCTTAGCTCCCGAAACGTGTCCGGGAGCATTACTAATAACATTATTGCGAAGTATGGCATAAGATGAAGACCTAGCGATTTATATTTTTTCAGCTGTGGCCTCTGGATTCTCCTGCACTCGCTCTCTGTGAGAGTCCGGGATGAGGAGAGCTCCCTGGCTTTCACCACCATCTGCGAATTCATCCACAGTTTCTTCGCCTGCGAGGAATGCCGGCGCCACTTCTACAAGATGTGCTCCAGGTGAAGCACCGAGTTTTCTTTCTTTTTTTTTCTTTTCGCTTGAAAAAAATGAGAATCTGCTGTAGTTTCCTGTTGCTGGGTTTTTTGTTTTTCCCCTGATATGGAGTCAAAGTCCCCGCCTTTTGACTTTGCCGCAGCGTAGCCGCGCCTCCGAACACTACCCGGGAGCTGGCGCTCTGGCTCTGGAGCTCCCACAACCGGGTCAACGAGAGGCTGCTGAAGACGGAGAGAGAGTCACAAACCGGCGATCCAAAGTTCCCAAAAATGGCGTGGCCGCCGAGCCAGCTGTGCCCGTCCTGTTACCGCTCCTCCCCCGCGAAGGAGGCGGGAGTCAGCGGCGGCGGCGGTAGCGGCGGCGCCAGCTTCCGGGTGGATTGGAGCGAGGACGACGTGTTCAGCTTCCTCGCCAGATACTACGGCGCCACGCTGGCGTCCTCGTACAAGGACGACGACCAGATCAACAGGGGGGGCGGCGGCGGCGACGACTCGGCGGGGGGAGATGAGGTGGCTTCCACGGGGGCCATGGCGGTGCCGCTTGGCGCCGCGCTGGGCATCGCCCTCGCCAGCTGTGCATTTGGCGCCCTGGCCTGCTTCTGGAGGACGCAGCAGAAGAAGCGGAAGTACTTTCGCCAACTTCACTCTTTAAAGAACATCTGAATTTTTTTTAGGTGCGGCTAGTTAATATTGATATCTTCCTGGCTTCCACCCACATCCCGGAAGGGTACCTTGCTAATTATGGCAAATCCCTGGATTGATCAGCCTTATCCTGTTCACGTCTGGCGCAGGCAGAAGAAGAAGAGAGCAGCTGGGGCGCACCCGTGATTCCGAGGCCTGGCCAGCGGCATGTACACTCTCTCTCTCTCTCTCTCTCTCTCTCTCTCTCTCTAGATCCGTAATGAGACCCTGCTGAATTCACTCTGATCTCGAAAAAGGCAAATTTTGAACTTTGTATTATACTCTCAATAATGGTGTTCTCAAGCGCCCAGTGTGTACTGATTTGCTGGAGAGTAGTGAGAAGGGGTGGGGGCTCCGAAGAACCCTAGAGTTTGGTGTGGGCACATTGGTGGTTAGCTCTTTCAATGCATGAAAACAATGGTATGCCCTGGAAAGTAGACCGAGAGAGAGGTGGTGGGGGGTCTGGTCTTCTTCCATACTTGGCGCGCTCCATGACGGTCCTTGATTAGGGCCGAAAGCGGCCTGCTACATCTCATCAAAACTGCCCTTTTTGATCTTCCTTCAATCCGGATTCAACCCATGCTAGAGAGAGAGGGGGGGGGGAGAGGGTGTGGTCGGGGTGGGCTTCTTCCCTACTTGGGGCGGCGCTCCATGACGCTGACGCCGTCCCTGCCGGCAACGATGACGGAGGAGGCCATGCCGATGAAGACGCCGTGCTCGGCGACGCCGGTGATCCGGAGGATCTGATCGCTGAGGAGATGAAGATCCCTCCGGATGCCGTCCTCAAAGTAGAGATCAACGACGTAGTTCCCGTTGTCGGTGACGAAGGGCCGGTCATCGGCGGCGGCGGCGCGGCGCAGACGAGCCTCGCAGGCCTCATAGCCCTCGAAAAGGCCCTTCAGCCGCCCCATCGTGAGTTGCCACCCGAAGGGCACCACCTCCACCGGCACCGCCAGGCCGCTGCCGCCGATGCGCTCCACCAGCTTCGTCTCGTCGACGATCACCACGAAACGCCTGCTCGCCCCCTCGATCATCTTCTCCCTGAGTAGCGACCCCCCGCGGCCCTTCACGAGGTTCAGCTCCGGGTCCACCTCGTCGGCGCCGTCGATTGAGAGGTCCACCACCGGGTGGGCGCCGAGGTCCGACAGGGGTATGCCCACGGCGGCGGCGTGGGCCTCCGTCTTCTTCGACGTGGGGATGCCCACGATGTCGCGGAGCTTCCCCTGCCGGAGCAGCTCGCCGATGCGATCCAGGGCGTGGGCGGCGGTGGAGCCCGTGCCGAGCCCCAGCACCATGCCAGACTCCACCAGCTCCACCGCCTGGTGGGCCGCCTTCTTCTTCAGCTCCTCCTGGCTCATCGTCGGTGCTGCCGCGGCGGCGGAGGACGGTGGCTTCTCCGGGAAGAGGAGGTGGGGGAAGGGCGGCGCCCCCACGTCCTTGGCCTGGGTGTAGCAGACCCGCATGTTTTATCCCCCGCCCGCTGAGAAAAACTGACCCACGGAAAAATAGCGGGACGAGATTGCAAGGGCAGAGAGAATCTCTTCCTATTCCCTCCTCTACCTCTCTCTCTCTCTCGCTATATCTCTCTATATCTCTGCGTGTATATGATGGGTAGGGGTAGGGTTAGGGTTAGGGTTAAATAGGGCGAGTGGGGGAGGGGAGTCCACGAGGAAGAAGGGGGAGGCGGGAACGGAGAAGACGTTTGCGGTTGCAAGGGGGAGAGGGGAAACAAGTGGAGGGGAAGGCGGCGGCGCCTCGAAGAAGTTGCGAATTTTTTCTTTTTCCACATATCCATCCATCCATCCATCCATCCATCCATCCATCCATCCGCCTTCTATGGGTGGGAGGGGGGCTTTTCGGCCATTTCAGAAAAGAGAGGGTTTTATGTGTAAAAAAGAAATCCGTGACGCAATCCCGCTACGGTCCGATCGCAGGGAGATCCGCGAAAAGCGATCGATCCGCGTCGCGTCCTCTTCTGGCCTGATTTAAAAGCTATTGGGCCCCACATTCAATGCTTGCGGCTTTCTTCCCTCTTCTCCCTCCCTCACTGATTTTCTGGCATATCTCTCTACACAGGCATCTGTACGCCATCTCCTTTTTAACATCATAATAATAATAATAATAATAATAATAATAATTTAAAAGGAAATGTTCGCAGGGTCTCCATTGGACAGGATGCATCGACGCTCTCTCTCTCTCTCTCTAGAAGGAGATCCCCGGAGATATTGTTTGGCCAGAATGGCCGAAAGACCACGGCTTTGAATGATGGTTCTACGTATTAACTATCGGAGGTTCGTGTGCAGTGGCTAGGGATGGATGGGGGAGTCAACGGGAAAGTAATATATATATTTCTTGCTTTGGCGGAGGGATTGTTCTCTCTATATATAGGATAGTCGTTGACCAAGGTCGGGGCCAAGGATCTAGGAGATGGCACTAAATTTGCCGGTCAAAGGCTTATGGAGGGGTTTTTGGGATTTACATATGGGGTTTACTTGAAGGGAGAGCGTTGACCCATCAGGAGAGAGAGAGTCTAGCCCGCGGCATGAAGCATGGCGCTTTGGACTTTTGGGTGGGATCTTATTGCGTCTAGGGGAGGGATGGAGAGAGGAAGACATCTCTCTCTCTCTCTCTCTCTGGTCAAACCCAGAGTCCATTTAATGGGCCCAAGCTAGCACAGACCGGCCCATTACACTCCACCTTAGCAGTGATAATCCAGAAACATTATACTCGGACAACCGCAGGCATTTCATAGAGAAGTTGAAAAATCTCAGAGGGACTAAAACTGGGAAAAAAAATTAAAAAGAACGAATGGTAGAGAGAGAGAGAGAGAGAGTGGTCAGAAGGCGTAGCGGTATATGGCGTCTGCCACGCCGTCGTGGTCGTTGCTGGGTCGGATGGCGTCGGCGGCCCCGTTTCCGAGGGCCACCCCAAGCGAGGCCAGCTGCAGCATCTCCGCGTCGTTCTCGCCGTCGCCGATCGCCATGACCTGCTCAACGGAGGTAAAGACAAGCTCCCCCTTTTCATTATGCCGCCCCCAGCGAGAGAGAGAGAGAGAGATAGATATGATGAGAAGGGCAACCGTTACCTCTTTCGCACTGATATTCAGATGGTCCAGCAAGGTCTGCACGCCACAGCCCTTGGATGCCCCTGGAGGAACAATCTCAAGCATCTCTGGCTGAGCATGAACAACGCTTGCCCGCCCTCCTGCAGCTTCCAGCCAATGCGGCCGCAAAACAGCGGAGATTTCATCATCCTCTCGGAGGAATACCATCTTCTGCAAATTTGACCAGTACGAGAAAGTTCTGTTCATGGCAAGTCTCATACATTTCAACCAGCTCAGTAAGATCAGAAGTTCTGTTCATGGCAATCTCAAATATTTTTGACTTAGCTCGTTGAATTCTATAACCAAATACCGCCATCCGGAGTAACTTTTATTCATGGCAATTGGATAAATACGGCAAGTTCCATTGACTTTAATCAACCCAACCACTAAGATCTGACAAGGGATTGACTTCTGGAAATACGCCTAGATAAAGTAACTTCTGATCATCGCGGTCTGACACATTATGATTCAGCACGCCGACATCTAAAAAAGGATTAACTTCCGTTCATGGAAATCCGAAACATTTTAGTTACCTCGTTAAGATTCTGATGGAGTTCAAATTACCTGTATATCAGCGACGGAGAGAAGATGCTCGACTGAAGGGATGACCTCTGCCTACACAAGATAGTCAACGGTACAGGACGTTGGAACATCCGACATGAAAGCTGGTAATAAAGGGAGGAGCGAATGGTAATAAACTGATACCTCTGGTTCGTGATACACGGAATGCAGCGACTTGACGGAAGGATGGTCAACCAGAGTCAAACATCGATCCTGGCTAAAAGCTACCAGGGGAATCTCGTGTTCCAAAGAGTACAACAGGGCCTGTTAAAATAACATTACACGTAAACATCACAAAATGAGCAGAGGAATTGACAGATAAGAGCAGAATCTTCTGCACTGGTAGCGTTATTATCATGAAATGGATACTCTTTAATCGAGATTTCACTAATGGGCCTTTACTTTCTAATTGATATGCTCGAGTCCCCCCCGCCCCCCCCCAAAAAAAAAACCAAAAGGTTACCATAAAAGGAAACCAACAAGCTGAAAGAAAATGATGTTTTTGCTAAGAGGTCAACGGGGAGATCAGAACGTCGGTGATCACCGTTGACCTTGAGAAAAGTATCATCTCAACAGTAAAGAGAAGTGTTCATTTACCTCTCGGCAGACATTTGGGTCTAAGGTCCTTCTATAAATCTCTCGGCCCTGTCTCCCATAAACAAGGGCACCCTGAAATTGAAAGATGACTTGGAGGATGAGTAAATGCAATAAATGATCAGAACGATAAGTCACGCTGATGTAGATTCCACATAATTATGCTGGTAAATTAGGCATAAAAGTCAAAATGAAAATTTATTAAGTTGGAAAACTATGTTGTTGCCAATAAAGACAGTTGAAAACGCATGTATTTGATCCATTGTCTGATATCCACCCCACTGCAAATATCAGTGGAAACGCTGACACAATATCATGTTGTCTATCTATTGGATAAACTGATTGCCGCCTTAGGAACCAAGTTCCCTGCCTGCGTCCAGATGTGGCACTTGAGCAGAGCGGGGCAAGCATGTAAGAAAAAGTCAAAAGCGCCTCTAAACGATGAGTTACTATGATGAGATCAACTGAAGAAATTAAAAAAAAAAAAACATCTCGTAAAATGGTCATGGTTAGTGAGACAATAGCCCATATATTTGGGATCAAGAGAAGAAAATTAGTGAGGCACGAAGGGGAAAAGATCCAAATGAGAACTCCCCAACTTAAATAAAAAAGTTAAATCATAAACATTGCTGCGAATGGGTAGCGGAACAACGTGTTAGGAATCTGTTACGTCGTATAGACAAATTCTTTCACAATAAGTCAAATAAATAGACCTCGGCAAACCTTGCCCAAGTGATTACACGTAATAGCCCCATTCCGTCATTGTGGATTATCTTTCAGTAACAACCATAGATTGACATAGTGGAATTAAATTAAAACGAACACTAGGGAGTACCGAGATGAAATCTAATCAGGACAAAATTTCCGAAAATAATAAATGGAAGAATATTATGTTAGAAAATGAAAAACGTTTCCAAGAAAAACATGACAGGAAAAACCTGCAAGAAGACACCTGGTGAAGTTTTGGACACAATACCATCTTTACCAGCCAGATCAGCCATCTTCAAAACACGAATAGCGGCTTGACGTGACTGCCATTAGCAGAAAATGATTTTTATCAGTTCTTGTAAAGACCCGACACTGTTGAGAGAAGTAGAAAGTATCAAAATAATAAGCATAGATAGGCACATGAACAAGCCAGCAGAAAAATAAATAAGTAAATAAAGGAACAACAGTACTCACTTTTCCGGTTGCAATCACCACCTTTACGCCCCTTGAAATTGTTTCCCTAAGAGCTTCTGCATTTCTCGAAGAAATTTGATTTCCGCTGTTTAGAAGAGCGCCTGTCCAAGAGAAAGCTATTTTACCAGGGCAACACACATCCGGAAAGTTTGATGGAAGGAATTCCTCAAAAGTGTAAATAGCTCACCATCCAAGTCACAAAATAAATATCGAAATTTAGGCCTGTAAAAACGCAGCCTCTTGACATCTTTTATAACCGCACCTACAAACATTCTCAAACTGCCAATGTTTCTATAAAAAATTATGAATCAAAATAGAATAAGAAATAAGATCCAAAGAGAAAAGGTTTTACTAGTATAAATAAGCAACGTAATGGTGAAAATGCCTCGTGAAGAAAAAAGACATCAAGGAAATTACCATTTAAATTATTTTCCCCAGGGTCCTCATCAGTTGCTACACGAGTAGAACTCCTGATAGGTACCTTTCTTCTCCAACCAAGACTCCCCAAAACAAGCTCCTCCTCCCTCTCCATTTCCATTTTAGCTTCATTGCTGATTTTATCATCAAATCCTAAGAGATGCAACAGACCATGGACCTGGAAAATTATACAGACAATATACTTTTCAGATTTCAGCAAGATATTGGATGCTTTTTGGTTGGATCCAAGAATCGTAAAAAATGAAAACCTGCGGCAACAATTTGACTTTTTTTCCAACAAAATGACATGTATTTATTGAATTATCTAATTCGTACGAATCCACGGACCACATTAATCCAACCTAGGCTACAGCTGACATTTTATTCATCTACGTTCATGTGCCATTAAAAACGAAAATCTCCTGTGACAAATGCTTCTTTTAAAATCTCAAAGAGCACTGGGGGAAGAAAAGGTTGACACAAACCACGAGGATGCGAATCTCATCAAGAAGTGTGTAACCTCTTTCTTCTGCTTGCCTTGCAGCAGTCTCAACTGAAACAACTATATCTCCTAACATTAACTGTGAAAATTTGAAAGATGTCAGAACGAAGGTGAAGAAACATAACCAGAGAAATAACAGAGACCATGTTACATCTGGATGATCAACTCACAATGGGAAGATCCAGTTCAGGAATGTGCCGCGACATTGAAAGCACATCCGTAGCCTGGCCTTCATCTCTCCATTCCTTGCTGAGTTTCCGAATAAAATCGTCATTGCAGAGCAATATATATAATTCAACCTTTTCGTATATTCCAACATCATTGATAAACGTCTCCCGTGTTTTATAGGTTGAACCTTGGAGTCCATTAAATGCAATTTTCGCTGCCATCGCGACATTCAGTCTAAGCATTTCTGCAATGTTCTGCGCATAATATGAGACCGTATTACTGGCGAAAGAGGGAAAACTCTCAGAGGTTCACTTCAAGAAGAGAACACCATACAATACCAGCTGTTTATCTTCACTAAAAGACTACATAGCGCATTAAAATCAGAGGTTTCATCAGAGACGCAGAGGATTCTTTCGCCGGCAACTACACATTCTGAAGCAGTTTAGGGGACCTAAAAGTGGTGTTACCTTTGCAGTACTCATCTACAAAGGGGATTGAATATCGTCTTCATATGCTACAACAAAACATCATAATCACGATAAATTTACGTAATGCATCAGAAGAACTACCAGAACTTCGGAATCGTGGGGCATCCCCTCCTCAATGCAGACTTTAACGCTGAGCTCCAACTCCCTCTCTTCAGGCACCGCGCGCTTCCTGGCAGCCTGCCGGCGTCTGAACTTGCGGAACCTCCTCAGCGACGAAATCAATCCTCGGATCTCCGCAGGGAAAAGCGTGCCCCGAGGGCGCGCATGAAACGTCCGCCTTTGTACCGCCGCGGATATCATCCCGGGAATGAAGGTATGGGGACACAGCGGCACAGAAGCAACGTCGGCGGGGGCTGGCGGCGGGGAATGCCAATGTGAGACGACGACCGTCGCCCTCCGGCTAGCCGGCAACCTTGAGGCCAGCGCGACGGCTCGCATCACCGTTCTCGCCATTCTTCCCATCATCCCGCTCACAGAGAGGGCGAGAGAGAGAGAGAGAGAGAGAGACTTTGAACGAGCTCTGAATTGGAGTCAAGGCTACTAAATAGAATGGGTCATCGATGGGCTTGAAATGGGCCTACTGGGGGCCTCGTCATGGGAACCAAATATATATTACATTTATATGAAAATTCTTGATACCTTTTTTTAATTATCTAATTAATATCGATAAAAATAAATGGTATAGGCCCTAAAATATAGACAGGGCCTGGCCCAGATCCTAGAGATGTCGGAACCCACACCCCCGACCAGCCCATTCAGTACGACATTACTTTTTAAAAATAATAATTAAATGCTTTAAATTACATAGAAATCGATTTCCCGGAAGGATGCCTCTATTTATAATTCGTTTAAAAATAACTTAAATCCCCTTTTTACTGAAAAAATCCCCATTAAAGACAGTTATATCACGGGTATCTAAGTTTATAGAAAATTTTAATGTATACTTTTTTACAATTCGGTTATCTCACAGTGAAAGGCGAAAAGAATCTCCCTTTTCACGGGCTCTCCTGTAAAACATCCCCTTGTGCGTTTCATCACCGTCCATATTGTGGGCCTTGGGCACAGGGATCGGACGGCGGAGGGCGTCCAGCCGCTCGGAGGCCGCATAGTGGGCCCCAGTGTCTAGCTGCCCCGAACATACGCGCGCCACATAGTTTGACCCCAGCGGCCTTCTGTACTGCAGTATAAACCTCCCCAGCGTACGGGGCGTTTGACCAGTCAACCCGTGCCGTATAGCAAATCTAGGGTTGGATTCGCGGCGTGGGGCATCCGGCCACTTTATGACGTTGGATTGGGTTATTGAATGGATGGATCTGACATTGCCCGTGCGCCGCCGATAATTCCGGGATGTGGGGCCCACATCCACGTGGAAGCCTCTGGTCCGAAAGCCCCTTTTTTTAATATTATCGATAATCGGGAAAAATAGAGCATTCAATGGAGCTGCCCCGTCCAGTCCCTATCAGCCCTCACAAGGAAATCTGGAGGGCGGCAGTAGATTATCCCTTCTCAGGTTAATTTCTCCCGAACTATGTGCCTATGTGTTCCCAAAACCATGCTAAATGTGCTGTCAAAGGAAATTAAATATCACACGCTGATGTATTTAATATTTAAATATTTCAATTTTACGGCATGCAACATAAATGTACGTCGATAGTATTTTCGGGCGGGGCTGTATTCGGACTTGGCCCGACCCGTTGACTATTTTTGACCTCGGTTTATAGCTCTGGAAGTTATGCGGGGGCTGTGGGATCTGGGACTAAGCCCGGCCCGTTGACCAAAACAGGGGGAGGGGGGAGGGGGAACCGAAGTGAAGCCGTTGGTGTCCACACTGAACATAGGCGGCATGCTCTTGTAATAAATATCGGGAAATCGTGTTCCAATGCCCCGGCGGTTCTTCTTCTCCGTTGTCGTAATTCTCCGCGCGTACAACGTCAACGTTAATACCAGGGCTAAAAATGGCAAAGGCGGGAGGCCACCGGGCATGTGATTAGCGTCAGGAATCTATTCAATCCTCTTCCCGAGGCCTATTCTCTAGCAAGAGAGAGAGAGAGAGAGAGAGACTGGTGTGCCGACCCACATCATGTCTCCTCCCTCTGGCTACCCTAATAGAAAACAATACAGAGAGAGAGAGAAGGGGGAGGACTGGTGCGCCGACCCACATCATGTCTCCCTCTCTGGCTGCCCTAATAGAAAACAACAGGCTCACCTCTAGCGGGAACCTCCATCTGTTTTATAACATCTCTGGGGCTGAGAACTGATCGCTGAAGGGGGGGAGGGGCGGCGGAGGTAGAAGAAGGCTGGCCCAGAGAGAGGAAGAGCTCCTGGTGCAGAGATCTGGGGGAGTAGAGCTCCTTGAAAGTCCAAAGGAGGCTCCTCGGAGGGGCTGGTACAGCTGCTGACTCATGGATTCCACTGTCCTATCCCATAGGCTCCGCCCGCCTCTGATTGACTCTATCACTCTCTCTCTCTCCCTTCTCTTCTCCTTCCTCGCTCGCTTTGGGATAGGCTTGTGGCTTGCATGATCCGGGAGCTGCAGTAGCCCTCTGGGACCCTTGTTTGGATTGAAGGGAGCTCTTCAACCTCGACCTCTGGCACTCTTATTCATTAAATAAGCTTTTTCTTCTTCCATCTGATTTCTCGTTATCGTGTTCTAGTTCCGGGTTTTGGTCGTCGTTGTTCATTGCTGTTGGTTGCTAATCGGGTGCGCAGATCCGTGACCGGTGGCTTTCCTTCAGTTCGTTCTTCCCGTCAGTTTCTTCCGGTAATCTCCAGGGCTTCTCCCTTTCTGGTTACTACTATTTTACGACGTTCCTTCTAGGGTTAGCTCCGTGTATCTCGTGCGGTTATTCTCTTGTTTCGATCCAGTTGCAGACGATATTTTCTCTCGCTTTATATTCCATGGTCATCGATTGAGGAGTCCCATTCTTCGAGACGTCTTAACCCTAGAAATTTATTCTCCATTATGCTTCTGCTGTGGACTGATTAAATCTGCAGGCATCTGCTGCGATGAGCTAGCGGTCCGAGGCAGCCCATCCTTCTTGAGCACTTTACGCACGGTGAGATTGTTCCCATGGCAGGATATCCTCCACTGGCTTACCGTCTTCATCTCTCTCGCTTGTCTGATTGATCCCTGCGGGAGAGTTGCTGCCTTTGCCGCCGAACGAGCTTCCGAAGGCGGCAGGTGGCCTCTGAAACCTACCACCCAGGCCTCTGCGGAGGAACTCTGGCGGGCTCGTCTTCCTCGCGAAGCCATGGGGAATCGTGAAATGTTCTTAAAAATCATTTTTTCGCACTGTAAATGGCAATCCCTCGAGGAATTCTTCGCTACCCACGAGGGACCTCGTTAATCTACTTGGAATACAGCTCAAGCGAATGACTTTCTTCATTCATTAATCATTATATTTAGTAAATATCTTACCCCTTGCGGATTTCTTGCCTTTGAATGGCGTGGGTATAGTTCCCACCTTTGGAAACTCTTTCCATCTGGTTTATGAACGGGGGAAAGTCTCCAAAGCAATCCGTTTTCGGTCCCCGCGTTTGATGCATTCGGTAAGGAGAGGAGATAGAGAGACCGAAGCAAGAGAGTGAGCTGCTTCTTTCTCTGAACTGGAGCCTGGTGCTCTTTCTGGGTCGTTCTGTTCCCGAGCTCCGACTCTCTTCTAAGGCAGAACCTGCTCCTCCCCAATTCCAAGAGATGGAGCTGCTACCTCTTTGAGGACTCGCCGGTGGCTTCTCGTCAACCCCTTTCGTCCTCTGACTGATATCAGACCACCAATCGTCGTATGAGTTTGACGATGACTCCATGGCGGTCATCCCGAGAATGGCCGCAAAGGAAGGTCGTCGGCGAGGGGACGGAGATGTTGCTTCCTCTCGGACGATGATTATGAGAGCACCTTGTTCGCCACAGTGACGAGGAGAATTATTAGCGCGTTTGCAGATGCGGAAAGCCGCACGCTATCGATTTCTTTGCGGCAGCGGCAGCGGCGGCGGTGGCGGGAAGTAACCAGTCCGGAGGGTTCCAGCCGTCCGAACGCCTCGGAGGAAACTTCTCCTTGGCAAGACGAGGAGTCGCCGGTGCCCGGATGGCTGCCACGTGGACAACCGGCAAGCTGCCCGTCTCAGATTCCGCGGCGCCTCCGCGGAGAGGAAGCATTATCGGGTCCATTTCCGAACCGGAACCCGAATCCATCGAGCTGACCCGTGGGGATCCCGCGAGGAAGCCCTCTGCCGCTCTGGCCACGTTCTGCTGGGAAAAGAATGACACGGTTTCGGGGCCTACCGGCTTCCCATAAATAAGTCCTCGCCAGTCGGGCTCCACAAGGAAACTCAGAAGTCATGGAGGCCTATTCCTTCTCGTCATTCGGAGCATCTGCTTCGCTACCTCCTCTTCCTCCTCCGTCCTCGTTCTCCTCTCAGAATTTCCGCCGCCTGCATCTCGCCGGCGGGCCGGCGGGTGGCGCGCGGGGGTGCCCCCGCCAGGGCGTGGCGGAGGGAGGGATACGAGGGGGACTTTGGGGGGCGGCTGGTGGACGAGGACATGATCGTGCTGCGGCGGCTGCTGTGGGAGATGGAGGTGGAGGAGAAGGGCTCCGAGGCGGCGCCGGCGCACTGGGCGGAGTGGGAGAGGAGCTACTACGCGAGATACGGCGCCGACGTGTGCGAGATGATGGGGGTGCTACAGAGGCTGCTGTTGAACTCCCGGCCGGCGGTGCCGCTTGGGATCATCGCCGCCGTCGCCGTCAGCGTCCCCACGGCAGCGGCGGCGGTCGTCTTCAACGTCGTCGTAGCGGCGATCTCCGCCGGCGGCCTTCTCCTGGGTTGAGGAGGAACGGTACTGTAGATAATGATTAAACAACCCGAAAACAGGTTTGTGATTCTTTCCCTTTATATCGTTAGAATTAAAGATATATATTTTTTATTGTGTTGACATCTGGGGAAATTATCGTCTCCCCGACGGTCCATCTTATCGTCGGTCGCCGCTTCGTCTCCCACGAAGCGGTCCTTCTACTATCCGTCACACCGGCCGGTCTAAAACGCGGCGACGAGAGGGAGATCGTTAATCTGCTGTTTATACTAGGTCAACCTAGCAGCCACTAAATGGCCGCACTCACTCGCGCGGTGCTCTGCAGTTCCTTGATCCTCGATCTCCCGCTGAAGTGGCGGTAAGAAGATCTGAGGAGAGAGAGAGAGAGAGGAAACAGAAGCCACCCTCGAAGGAACTTCCCTTTCCTCGAAATCCGTTCTTTTCTTCTCTCGGGTAACGAGAGAGAGAGAGAGAGAGAAGCCATGAAGGAGATGATCGTACCCGGTCCGATCTGGGTCCCACGGGATCTGATTCAGGGTGCGAGCTGGGAAGGCAATGAGGGTTAAAGCAGCTAGCTGACTTCAATCTCCAACGATGTATTTTTGATAAACAAATTAGTTCAGAGATTTTGTAAGGATCAAGTTAAAGATAGTCAAAACATTATTAAAGACCGTTAATCATGGACGACTATAGAATGAGATAATCTTCTTTTCTTTTAGGTCAAATAGGCAACGAATCTTTGTGGGCATTCAAAACTAGTAATTGAGGGCCACGTGGCAACAAACCCAGGGCCATTTGCCAGTGGCAGATGGTAGGAGACTAGAGTCCTCTTCCAATGAAGAACGCCCCACCTCTAAGGATGGGTAGTGTTGTGGAAAAGAACCAAAATGATACAACCAATAACTATTGAATTCTGAATGCAAATGTGTTACCCTCTTCAGTATGGATGGGTTTAGAGATATCAAAGTCAACGTGACAAGGATGAAAGGATCGAATCTAATGAAATGAAAAAACCATGCATTGAGAAGTGATGCACTAAGATTTATAGAGAAATCCTTCTAAATTCATGAAACAAGTTACAGATATTTATCTAAGGGAAGAACAAATGAAAATAATGTCACAAGACATTTGAATCTATTTACTTGACCAGATGCAAATTGCCTTCCTCTTTGAGTGGACAATGCAAACCAAAAATGAGGTCAAACCCTCTTATCTTCTTCTCTCATTGATTTCTAAATCTTTTTCTCGCAATTTTAAATCTTCTTATTTTACCCTTTTTTCAATATTTACATTTTTACCAACTCATTGGATATCTTCTAACACAATTCTCTCCTTTTTCACAAATTTTTTCAAATCAAACATCAAAATAGCATAAAATGTTTTGTCAAAAGATATGTTAAATCTTTCACAAGACATATTGTACTTTATGTATTGTAATGCATACATACTCCTCATAAATGGTAAGTTTCTTTAATAAATAATTCAAATAAAAATATTATTTTTGCAGTCTAAAACTTGATAAGTATGCACAATTTATGTTGGTTTCAATAGTTTGACAACAACTCATAGCATTGACTTTTAACTTTTAATAACTCCACTTAGAATAAACATATACTTTGTTGTGGATCTACTCTTGTTAGGTTTGCATTTTATAAGTTAACATAACTAATAAGAGAATCATATTTGTTCTCCTAAAATAATAACTTAACATCTAATATATCATAAAGATAACACATCATCTACATTGTTCCATTCTAATTATTTTTTTCTAGATTTATCACTTATTTACTAATAATGCTGACAACAAAGGGTCTTCTACTTGTCGAATTACAACATACATTAGACAAAAAATCACATCTGAAAAAGGGATATTTAACATCTCTGATTATTATTTATTAGATTTTGGATTTTATTATACATAGCATGGAATATTCAGATAAAAGCATATTAATATTCTTGACCTTTGTCCTTTTGAATTTGACCAATACATAGTAGATACACCTTTTTTTTAAGTCAACCATAATCTCTTGTTACATGAATCCTTTTAAATCTCCATACCTAAGATCAGCTTATCATTAAAGTTTTTCATTGATGTGAGACACCCCCCTTTTCCTTGAAGTTTAAACTACTTTAGGAATGGAAAGATATATAATAACTCACTTGACAATCAATACTTAGCTCATATTCAAGAACTTGGAGAAGAAGATTAAAGAGGTGAAGACTATGTTGCAGAGACTATATGTGTTCAATATAAAGTCAAGATCTTTGACAAAATAAATAAAGCCATAGAAGAGTTGACTTGAGGCATAACTCAATGTTTATCCTTTCACAGATAGAAGAAGTAGAATAAATAACTCATATTTACAAAATATCAATACAATACTACATTCAATATTTTGACTAATATCGGTATCTATAAGATTATTTATATTCGTGATCCTCTATCTTTAGTTTGCTTTTGTATGTATAAAACAAAGGGTGACCATGGTGGAAAAATAATTGCTAGAATGTAATTATTTTCTTTTAAATGACATGACTTGATCCTAGTCAAGGATCAAGAGAAATACGTACATAAAACGGCAAGGAGCACAGTCTGAAGTGGGATATCTAAATTATTTAAAATTAAAGCCTTAAAACATGTGAATATCAAGCTCTCAATGAAGATATTTTATAAATTACTAACTACGTGATCAAAATGATCAAGTAGATTACTTGCATATTAAAAAAAATTCATAGCCTTATAACTTATCGTCTAGTTTTTCGGGTAATTACCCTTTGAAAATTAGTTGATTAGAATAATCTACCAATTTAATATATAGAAAATTTTCATGTGTTTTTAGTCCCAATGATGTAGAAGGTGACCGATTCATTGCCCTGTGTCTCCAACGCGACGAGGACGAGAGCGAGAACGCTAATCCGCAGGCACATCCTACCGCTGTTTATATTGGGGCGACCTAACTCTCTCTCTCTCTCTCCCCCCCTCTCGCGGCGCTCTGCAATTCCCGGACTTTCGATCTTCCCCTCCTGGTTCCTGCGGAAGAAGCGGCACGGAGATCTGAGGAGAGAGGGAGAAGAGCGCCGGAATCAGCAGCCATGGGGGAGATGGTCGTGCTCAAGGGCGTCATGAAGGGGCATGCGGACATGGTGACTGCCATCGCTGCCCCGATCGACAACTCGGATATGATCGTGTCCTCTTCGCGGGACAAATCCATCCTCGTCTGGCACCTCACCAAGGACGCAGCCGCCTCCGCCGATGGCGGATCATCGGCGGTCTACGGCGTCCCCCGCCGCCGTTTGACTGGTCACTCCCATTTCGTTCAGGATGTGGTTCTCTCCTCCGACGGGCAGTTCGCGTTGTCCGGCTCCTGGGACGGCGACCTCCGTCTGTGGGATCTCAACACTGGGGCCACAACGCGCCGGTTCGTGGGGCACGGCAAGGACGTCCTCTCTGTCGCATTTTCTGTTGATAACCGGCAGATCGTCTCCGCCTCTCGCGACCGCACCATCAAGCTCTGGAACACCCTCGGCGAGTGCAAGTACACGATCCAGGACGGCGACGGCCACACTAATTGGGTGAGCTGTGTCCGCTTCAGCCCCAACAGCGTTGTCCCCACCATCGTTTCCGCCTCCTGGGACCGGACCGTGAAGGCTTGGAATCTCAGCAACTGCAAGCTCAGATACACCCTCAAAGGCCACGGTGGCTATGTCAACACTGTTGCCGTGAGCCCTGACGGCTCGCTGTGCGCCAGCGGTGGCAAAGATGGCGTAACTCTTCTCTGGGACCTGCAGGAGGGGAAGAGACTCTACTCTCTCGACGCTGGTGCCATCATTCATGCCCTCTGCTTCAGTCCCAACAGGTACTGGCTCTGCGCTGCCACCCAGGACAGCATCAAGATTTGGGATCTCGAGAGTAAGCTCGTCGTCCAGGATCTCAAGCCGGAGGCAACCATTGGCAAGAACCAGGTATGCGAGCCTCCTTTGTAAATTGATATTTTTTCTAATATTTGGGATTAATCGTCTGTATTTTTTCTAATATTTGGGATTAACCATTAGCATCTTTTTATGTTCTGTACATTGGTCAAGGATCAGGATCACTTCCATAAATCAGCTATTCACTTTGATGTTGCAGCTTTTCTTCATTCTGCTCATTTTTTTTGTAGTTTACTTCTAAATGGTTGTGGTTATGTGGATGAGAATGCATTTTCTGGTGACCTCATTCATTATACCATGTAGGTTGTGAATTTTTCCTTTGAGGACTAATGCTGTTCGTTTAACTTCATTAACAAAATTACCCTCTATTGCTTGTTTCCATGGTACACTTCGGAGTTCAGATGATCACCACCGAGAATTGAGCTCTGTTGATTAATGTTGGATTCTCTTTGGATTTTTTGTGGTTTAGTTACATGGTTGAGATCACCCGGTATTTCATATTTTATTATTTTTTTTACTTGCTTCATCTTTTCTTCTAGACATCTTTTTGCTCAAGTAATTCCTCTCCGTAGTAATTTGGTGGAAATCGGTCTTCTAGTTACCGTGCCTTCCCACTATCAGTTTGCTTTGCTTGTGTTGCCCATCTATATCAGGTTGCTGTCTTCTAGCTTCATCTGTGTATTTCTTCTACTCATATTATCACGTAATAAGGAAAATAAACCGCATGGACAATTGTCTGGACATCGAGGAGGAGAACTTCAATCTTGCACGGGCCGTCTCACTTCTTCTACACCTTGTGTTGTTGGAAAGCAAAAATATTCGATTATTGTCCATAATATCAGCAGAAGATTACCTTTCCCACTACTAAAACACTTTTTTCTTTTTGATGATTAACAAAATTCTGGGTCTTATCCTTTGCTGCTTTTTCTTTGCTTCTTTTAATGACTCCGTGGTCCAAGTTCTTCTGTTATGTGAAGATCATTATTTGGGTTGACTTAGATCCAACATAATTAGGCATAATTAGGCAAATAGATTGATCCAGATGTGTTTCAAGGGCTGGAGTTATGATAAAATGGACGAGTCGAGCGAGTCTTGGGCTGGACAACATTTGAAGCTCTCCGGACATGACTTCATTTTTTTCTACTTTATATTATAAGAAAACATTAAATAATACAACCCATGTAAAAAAATAAATTTAATCATGCGATTTGATCCTGCGCAAGGATTTGATCTTTGATTAAGTTTGTCTACTTTGTGCCAACTTGCATGAGTTGACTCAGCACGGCAAACTGTGATGTCTAGGATAAGCCTGGTGCGGCGGAATTCATGGCTACGCTGTCATAGAAATGGGAATTCGCATCAAGAAACAGAGCCCATGGAAGCAGCACAGAACTCTCCAAGGGAAGTATTTGGCTCTAGCTTGCATTCACCTGCTCACATGAGGATCTTTTCTACCACATGGCAAGCTTGATCGAGCTCCAGTGCTTCTCATCCTCCCCCAAACACTCCGATTCTACTTCTCTACCTGATTCCTCAAGATCTCGGCACATTTATTTTCTTCTTCGTCGAGCCTGAATCTTGCAGAAATCGTAATGATCGTTTGGTTGCTGGTTCCTCTGATGCTCATCAGTTTCTTCGGATAAAATCATTAATACAACAGAAAAAAAAACTGCGATCTCTACTTTCCTTTCTGTTCTTTCAAATATTGGGTTTGATGTATGGAACCTCCTATCCATGGCGCAGGTGCTCTACTGCACCAGCCTGAGCTGGAGCTCCGACGGCAGCACCCTCTTCTCCGGCTACACCGACGGCGTCATCCGGGTCTGGGGCATCAGCCGCGCCTACTAGAGACAGAAGCAGAAGCAGAAGCAGAAGCAGAAGAAGAGGAGGAAGAAGAAGCTCTTCTTATCTATCGTTTAAAGTACTTATTAGTTGGTCTATATATTCGTGTTTGAGCAGGTACTTGTCGAGGATCAACGAGTGATGTTTCTCTCTAACTGATCATGCCCTATGCCTGCAGATCTGTGCCGGGCCGGGCCAACTTTCGGGCTTAGCCCGCTAATTATTCGTCATTGCTTTCATGTAGAGTAATGATGGGGTTGAGGACGTTGAATCAGAAAAAAGCTCCAATCTTTACCGGATTCGAGAATAAGATTAGATTTCCTAAGTTGGGGATTAAAGATTATCCTCCCGGGTCAACCCCCGCACTTCGGATCGGCTTATCGGCGCAAGTTGCCATGTGGGCCCGTCGGAACCTGATTCAGGTCCGAAATAGGCTCGACCCCAGGTTAGAGGGTTATAGTCGTAATTTCCATTTCCAACGAGGACTTTTTCTTAAAAGCCAAAACATTATGACAAATCTGTAATTGTGGATAGCTATGAAATGGGATAATTTCGTAAATAAATTCCTTTGGGGGTTTGTTAGTAATACTGTTCTTTTAAAATTCAGTATAGGAGTGAAATCGACAGAAGCATGGTTTTATCCCACGAAACCCCAACTGAGGGGTATTTAGGTCAAATATGTATAATATCGGTGGGGGTACGTGGCAGTAAACCAGGGCCGTCCGGAGGGAGGTCGGCGGACTGTTGCCATCAAAATAGGGCCGGCCTCTCCCCGTCGCTCCTCCTGCGTTTATTTTCTGACTGGGAAATCCCTCGTTGTGGAGGCGTAGGCAGATGCAGCAGCTTGGCTTTCCTTCTTCCCCGTGGATCAATCGGTAGCTTTCTCCTCTACCAGTTTCTGCGCCCTTGGTGATGGCGAGCCACGGCGGCGGTGGGGAGCCGAGCACCGCGCCGCAGCCTGACCGGTGGTATACGCTCAGACTAGGGTCCTCCTTCAAAGAAGACCGCCCGGCCTCCAAGTTCTGCACCCTCCGCTGTGAGTTCCGCGGCATAAATTGGATACGGTGGCTCGCTGTGTCGGGATTTCTTCGGCGCTCTCTAGTTGTGGCGGAATTCGCGATGTTCCAGGAACTGCTTTATTTGTCTTCCTCATTTTTTCTCCTGATATTATTGCCGGAGATCGTTCTCTCGGAGCTTCGACATGTAACAGTTCCTGCATTTTCCGGTTTATTCTTACTGTGTTTTTCATCTCTTCTGTGATCCTTTGTTTCGGATTATTCGATATATTGTGGTTTTTTCAACGCTTCAGAGGTCGTCTCTACCTTGTTTTCGGGCTCTTCACCTATTGAAAGTCGTTGAACACGACGGATTTTACGTTCTTTGATGTCTCTAGTGTTGCTATCACTTGGATCACTGTTGGTGAGAAGTATGGAGTCAAAGCCTGACAGCTCCTGTTTTCATCGGAGTAATTATCCTGGCAGATGAGGAGGATCCTCCTCTTCATCCAGTTCAGCCGAAGCGACCTTTGGGCTTACATGTGAATGCTTGTTTCTGCAGATGAGTTTCAGCCAGCCTCCATTGACAAGAGCCAGTCCGGATCGCTGCACAAAAGCAAGGAGAGCAGGATCACAGTGGAATTCCAGAATAACCAGCCTGGAAAACCCAAGGTGACTTTTGAGGGCACTAGCGAGGAGTACAAGGAGAACGATGGGGTCTTGTTCTTTGATGGTGAAACACTTCGCCTGGAGAGGCTTCACCGGGCCGTGAAACGACTGAGGCATGTCCGGAAGCCTGGCGAGTCGAGTGCTGCTTCTTGTGCTTCGGCTGCAGTAAATTCAACTGTTCCACCTGCAGTGGGAGCAGAATCGCGATCACCACCGGTGTCAAAGACGAGCAAATCACAGCCTCTGAGTAAAAGCATGGCTCATTCTGTTCCGGTAAGTCTCTGTGAATCATTCTTCCAATTGTTGCTCTTCGCTTTTTGAATAGTTTTTCGAGTTCATCATGCAGATACATCTACACCTATCCATCTGTCCACCGCCATTTTTGGCAAGCCAGTCCGGATAGCTGCTGCCGGATAAACTAGTATCTCTTAAAGAGATAGACAGGTCAAGGCCTTTGACATCGGGGATTGTGGGCAGAACTGGGCTGAGGAAGGAGAAGCTGCGGTCATCACTTTGGTTGCAAGGGAATACGTGTGAGACTTTCATGGAGCCATTTCTCCGTCCATATCCTAGTTTTTCGTGGAGGGCTTGAAGCTGTGTAGGAATGCTGTGGAGTGTTTATGGGGAGATTTAGGGAGGAGCTTCGAACGCATCTGAGACCCTGTCATCCATGGAAGGATGCTTAAACCTCAAGAACCATAGGGCCTTCAAAATTCTGTAGAAATCCCCAGGCATTGAGATGTTTCGGAAGCTGCATATATCCGGGTTGGAAGCTTTTCTCTGGTTGCAGAAATCCGGCAAAGTGAGGCAGAAGCTGGAAGCCCTGTATTTTGAGTTGGAGCTGGGGATCGAAGGTGGACTCTTGATTACCATTCCCTTACATCCGTTGACAACTCTATTAGCATTTTCAGGAGCATCTGCGGGATTCCGATTTCTTGGAAGGATCTAATCCAAGAAATCCATAACGGGGACCCAAGATTAATCATGAAGATTATTTTTTTTTTCACTTGGTTAATAGTGTTTTGTTTGAGGTAGAAAAATTAGCATTGATTGAGAGGTTCCGCAGCATGGAGAAGGAAGGCTGTTGGGAGACATATTTTACGAAATTATAATTTTTTTTAAGTCAACGCGTTCTCATCCTGATTCAAGCAAAATTTTATGTTCTTGAACGTGATTATATACATGCTGTGTGCTTTAATAGATTATGCTCCACCGTGTTCTTATGAGACAAAAATTACCTGAATTTCTGACATGGGTTTTTTGTTTTTTTTTTCTGTGATCATTCAGCTCGAGGTCGAGAGAATCGATATCGGTGAATCTGACGGCCCAGGTATTCTCATCAAACTGGTGGCAAAGCCGTCAATTACATTTTTTATTTCTTCTCGCGGAGTTGACTTCTGATTTTGGGTTTCTTCCTTCTGTTCTTGAACCGGCGGTTAAGATCGATTTCGTGTCAGTTTTCGATCCTTGTGTGGTCCCTGTTCATGGGTTTCCCCTGTTTTCCTTCGCCCAGTTTGCAAAGCTTCGGGGAAGGCTGCGGAGGAGAAGAAGACCATCTCGGCGCCGCCGAACCCGCCGCCGCAGGCCTCGCCGGATAGGAAGTCCGCTGACCTGGAGGAGACCGTTGACATCGAGATGGATGACGACGACGCCATCGCCGGAGGGGAAGCCGCGGCGGCGCTGGGGCTCGCCGGTGAGCTCCCCGAGCGGAGCGACAGCGACGACGAGATTGCCGACGTTGATGTCAGCGACGACGACCGTGGGCGAGGCCCCAACGCCGCCGAGGCCCTGCGAGCGCAGGTCAACGCCGGAGAGGACGAGCCGGCGACCTCCAGCTCCAGCGAGAGCAGCGGCAGCGGCAGCGGGAGCAGCGACAGCGACAGCGACGGTAGCGACGACAACTCGAGCAGCTCCGGCGGCGACGTGGACATCGACATCGACGGCGAAGATACTTGACGGCGCTGCCCTATGTCCCGGATTGTTCATCTTTTCATCCAAATATATGCAGAAAAATTGGAAACTATTATTATTATTATTATTATTTAAAGCTCAGCTATTTAATGATGAGATAATAATACTTTTTTATCAGTATTAAGTATATATTATTTAAACTTCTTAATTCATATTCGCCTGGTGCAATCCTAGACTCATCTGCTAGGATTAGTATTCATGCATAATAATAATAATAATAATAATACAAATAATATTTGTTATTAGTTTAATAACTATTAATTTGATAGAATATCATGTTTTTCTATGAAAAATGTGGAATAATTCTTCCCCGCTGCAGAATCAAATTCATCTCCCACTTGGGTCATAATAATATCATGTTTCCGACGGACGGATTAGTACGGAATAATAATAATAATAATAATAATAATAATTTACTTAACGAATATTTATAATCGGGAGTTTCATGGTAGGTGAGAACCGTAGGGTGGAGTTACATCTGGTCTGACTGCCCTCCCTGCACCAATTGATGGTGGGGAGGTTAGGTAGGCGGGAGAGTAAGATCACCGGCAGGTGGTGAAATCATACGCCGGGCACGACACGAGGCCCTCGTCGCCGACTCATTCACGTCACGCCACGCAACCACCGCCGGTTCTATAATTATTCGAAAAAAAATTACTGGTATTTTATTCCCTCGTCACAACATAAATCAGAAAAGACGAACAGAAGGAGCGGAATCCCTCACTCTCTCTCTCTCGCTGTTCTTCGCGTCTGGAATTTTTCCGTACTAATCCGTCCGTCGGAAAAGCTTGCCGGCGGCTGGCCACACATTGGAGGACAAAGGCGGTGGAGGGGGAGGGAGGACGAAGGCGGTGGAGGGGGAGGGAGGACCAAGGTGGTGGAGGGAACCCGAGATCCAAAGCGAATCGTCGGTAGATGCGGATTCTGGGAACGGAGACGGGAGGCGGTTCCTGCGGCGGCCTCATTGGACCTTGGGGGACCGGCGGTAGGCGCAGCAGCGTCTGAATCCGACGTTACTCTCGATCCCATGCTGTCGCCGCCGGCATGGCGCCTGCTGAGAAATGGCTCTCCACGCTGTTCGCGGCGGCCGTGGTCTCCTTCCTCCTCCTCGTCCTCTCGGTCACCAGCTCTCCTTCCTTTTCCACGTCCCGCAGGGCGGTCCCCGAAGCTCTCGCGGTCAGTATGGACTCCCGGCGCAGCGCCCCGATCCCCGCATTTGCCTATTATATCTCCGGCGGCCGGGGTGACCGAGATCGGGTTCTGCGCCTCTTGCTCGCTGTGTACCATCCGAGGAATTTGTACCTCCTGCACTTGTCAAAGGACGCGCCGGATTCCGAGCGGGCCGGCCTGGCCACCGCCGTGAGATCGGCCCTCCCGGCGGCGCGAGCATTTGGTAACGTGCACGTCGTGGGCAACCCCGCCGCCGCCACCTACATGGGGTCGTCGGTGCTTGCCGCGACTCTCCACGGCGCCTCTGCCCTCCTCAGGTTGAGCAGGGGCTGGGATTGGTTCATCACTCTGAGCGCCGCAGACTATCCATTAATCACTCAGGACGGTATGTGCTGCAACCAGTGCTGCTTTATCTCAAGGGTAGATCGGCTCCTTGTGGGCCTCTAAATTTGGAAACTTTCTGCTTTAGATTTTTTTATATCTATCTTTATTCAGTGTTCGAAATCTCAGACGACTCAGATTGATTGGCATACTAGATTAATCCCGCTGAGCATGGTGTCTGTGTGGTTTGAAACTCTTCTTGGCTTGCTCTCTGGACTATTGAAGAAGAGCAATGTGCTTCAAAAGTTTCTCGCACAACGGTTTTGATTTCCTCTGGAGTTCAGTCAGATCTGAGGAAGTTTCTCTCATCTGATTCGATCTCTTTTACCATGTTCATCGATTCAAATAGGCACCTAGAGATAACCGCGCGGCTGTAATACTTGGGATTTAACAACATATATAGTATCTGTCTGTTGTCCTCTGTCGATCCACAGAGTAGGTCGAGCAGGATCATATCAGTATTACCATCTCTGTTCATTAAGACTGTGATGCTTGCCGATTGCTATGAACACTCTTGCGGTTTATATTTTATAATTCGGGGATGCATTTTACACATTACCATGCTTCCCACAACACCTCCTCTTTCCTTTTCTGTCTGCCTTGGATAAACTGCCAGTTATCCTTGGTCTGAGCATAGTTCAATTTCTCTGTGTTGGTTGTCTCTACCGTTTCGTTTCCATTTTCGCATATTATTTAGATAGAGAAGCCCTTTGCTCAGACTTTACTCCCTTCTCCCTCTCTCCCTTCCTCTCCTCTCCCCACAGATTTGCTCCATGTCTTCTCATCCGCCCCGAGGTACCTCAACTTCATCGACCACACGAGTGACATTGGCTGGAAAGAGTAAGGAGCCCTCTGATCATATGAGATATTCATTCTTCATCACACCGCTGCAAGCTCTCTGGATTGACAACCTGCATGTAATTCCTCCCCAGATACCACCGGGTGCAGCCAATCGTGGTCGACCCAGGGATTTACTTGGCGAGGAGGAGCCAGATATTCTACGCCCAAGAGCGGAGGAAGACTCCCAAATCGTTCAAGTTCTTCACTGGTAGCATCCTCTTCCCTGGCCTTCTTCTCCCTCCTGCGAGTCCTCTTAGAGATGGATTATATTAATATCTCGTGGTCGTTCTTCGTCGGCAGGATCTCCGTGGGTGATTCTGAGCCGACCCTTTGTTGAATTCTGCATCTTTGGCTGGGACAACCTGCCGAGGAGGCTTCTGCTGTATTTCTCCAACGTGGTCATTCCCCAGGAAGGGTACTTCCACTCGGTCGTCTGCAACGCCCCCGACTTCCAGAACACCACGGTGAACAGCGACATGAGGTTCATGGAGTGGGACTCGCCGCCACAGATGGAGTCCCACCACCTGAACTCCTCCGACTTCGGCAAGATCGCCGCCAGTGGAGCGCCATTTGCCCGGCAGTTCCTTGAGGGCGAGCCGGTGCTGGATGAGATCGATGCGAGGATCCTTGGGCGGCGGCGGGGGTGGCCGGTCCCCGGCGGTTGGTGCAGCGGCGACGGGCGGTGGTGGTCGGACCGGTGCTCGTCTTGGGGAGACATCGGGAAGGTGGTGCCAGGCCCGAGAGCGGAGAAGCTGGGAGTGAAGATGAAGGAGCTCCTAGCCGGCTGGCGGTCGCAGGCGAGCTCCTGCAGATGAGTTCTTGGGGGGGTTATCTTTCCACGCGCAGGGGCTGTTCCTTGGTCTCTTCTCATTTCTGGTCCTCCACTGCGTCTACTGAGATAGAGAGAGAGGCATCAAAGTGAGAATGACACACACACGTATATATATATATATATATATATATGTATGTACGTAGAGAGGGAGAGATTCTCCAATGTGTTATCCAAGTGAGAGACTTGTGGCAGGGAATAGTATTCTTTAGGCGATCAGCTCATCTTTTCTCCACTGCTGGTTCTTTAGAATCTTTCCAATTTTCGTGTCAATCCTCTCGGGTTTTCCTCGCTTGCCTGAGATGCGTCTCATCCGAGCTCCCTTCCAGACTCGAGGTGATCTTCTCATGCATCCCCACGCGCATGGTGTTCTTGATTTAGGGTTTCCTCACTAGGGACCCAGGGTTAGAGAGGGAGAGATAGAGAGATAGGTGGGTTCAGTTCTTATTCCAGATTGAAGCTACTTGCCAGGCTCTCAGGGTGAGACAGAGAGAGGGAGAGAGAGAGAGAGAGGGAGAGAGAGAGAGAGAGAGAGAGAGAGAGAGAGAGAGAGAGAGAGAGAGAGAGAGAGAGAGAGAGAGAGAGAGAGAGAGAGAGAGAGAGAGAGCTAAGTGGGCTCAATTCTTATTCTAGAGTGAAGCTAGTGATAATTCCCTCTCAGTTCTCGAAAGAGATCCCCTTTGATCAACAAGGAGGGCATATTTATTGAAAGCCAAGAACAGATCGTGGTGTGGTCTCAGTGCTTCCTCTTCCGCCGGAGCATCTCCCTGAACCACCAGGCCGACATCTTCGGGTACCTCTTCAGGTCTCGGTAGTCCACGTAGACCAGGCCGAATCTCGAGGTGTACCCGGACCTCCACTCGAAGTTGTCCAGCAGGGACCAGGCGAAGTAGCCGACCACACGGGCTCCGTCGTCGATCGCCCTCTTCAGCTCGATCAGATAGCTCTTGTAGTAGTTGACTCTGGTGACATCGTGCAACCCCGCCGGGAGGGTGACGTTGCCCGGATCATCCATGCCTGGAAGAGATCATGGCCAAAGCACCTCAGCTCATCTCGCCGATCATGTCTTTTTATGGTTTGATGGCCAATAAATGTCAAATAAACGGGTTTTCTAAGTTTTTCAGCCTTTCATAGTACTTGAAAAATCATGAAAAAGTTTTTCTATATTTATTTTCAAATCAAGACCAATAAATTCTGATAAGAATGAGTCCTCGAGTCATTTATGGTTCAAAATAAAAATAAAAATAAAAATACTAAATACTTCCAGATTACTGATCAGGGTTATTTTTTGCCTAATTAAGATGAAGAAGATAAATTCCATAAAAAGAAATAAATTGACGGGGACTGATTAAGTGATGAATTCCTCAGGTTCTTACCGTTTTCAGAGAGGAGCATGGTTAGGTTCCCATACTGCTCCTTAACGTAGGCTACGGCTTTGTACATTCCCCATGGAACAATATAAAGCCAGACAGAGTGTGCCTGAAATTTTTTTGAAGAATGGTTTAGATAATTATGGATGGAGCGTGAATGGTTTCCCTAGATTATAACATCAAAGTTCCATTTGATCTCGTTCTTCGATCAATCGAAATAATTATATCAGCAACTGATTACCCGAGGTCCAATGGGCACACCATCTCGATCAACTGCATAATCATGACGAAAACCCATTAAATAAAATTTATGCACAAAAATTATTTCAATGACATCATATATATATATATATATATATAGTAATGTATTACATGCAAATCCGGCATTCCAGTCAAGTTGATATCCTGTGACTTTTTCCGGGGGCTGATGCGGGTCAAACAAGTAATAAGCAGTGTACTGATTGATGCCAACAAAGTCAATGGACCCTTTGACCATCTTGACCTCCTCGGGGCTGAATTTCGGAAGCCTCTCTCCCACAATTTCTTGCATATTTTTTGGGTATTCTCCGAAGACCAGAGGATCAAGAAACCTATAATTAATCAAGGAGATTTTAGAGTAAATTCATTCATCGCTGATTTTTGGAAATGCAGGGGATGGACCGTTACCATCCCAGATGGAAGTCTCTTCCTCTCTGAGCAGCTGCTTCGTCGTCGGTTGAATTGCTGAGGGGTTCGTACCAGACAAAATCCAAGAGGATCCCAATCTTGCCCTTTTGGGTCGCCTGGCAAGAGTATAAATGAAACGAAGCATCCCAAAAATTGGGTAATGATTTAATGGAAATTGATCCTAGGGAATAATTAAGAAAAAAATATGATTTAACTAATCATGGGTATGGCTAAACTATATGCTATACCTGTCAAAGAAGCATAAATGAGATGGAAATCCTATAAATTTGGCAACTTTCGAGTGCACACTAATCCAAGGAATAATTTGAAATAATGTTTTGACCGATAGAGGATATATCTAAAAAAAGAAATGCTTTACATGTGAAAGAAATATAAATAAGATGAAGCATTCCAAGAAATTGGGCAAATTTCTAATGCAAGCTGATCCAAGGAATAATTTTCGAATAATTTCGAATACCTGATACTTCTCGCGATATCTCTGGACTGCAGCTGCATGAGATAAAATGAGATGATGGGCAACAATGTACGGCTCTGTTGAGGAGTTCCCCGCCGAGCAGTTCCCAAATTCCTTGGAGCATCTCCCGGGGGCAAATATCCCGTTATCATAGCCCAGGGCTGCCACAACCCTCGGTTCGTTGAATGTCATCCAGTTCTTCACTCTATCGCCAAATGCCTCGAAGCAGAAGTCTGCAAAGTCAGCGAAGGCCTTCCTGCAACCAATAGAAACAGTTCCTTCAGATCCATAAAGTGTAATATTTCCAATTTAATCTTTTGCCCAAAATTGGAGATTCAAAAAAAGGTCAAATCGACACTCATCTCGTGCTGCGGATTTTTTCTTGGAACTTACGTTGATATGATATGAAATGAAAACCAAATATCAGTTGGTGATTCCGATTTAATCTAGTGCCCAATGTGATAAAGTAAAAAATAAAATAAAAATAAAATAAAAATAAAATAAAAATAAAATAAAAATAAAATAAAAATAAAATAAAAATAAAATAAAAATAAAATAAAAATAAAATAAAAATAAAATAAAATAAATAAAATAAATAAAATAAAATAAAATAAAATAAAATAAAATAAAATAAAATAAAATAGAATAAAAATGAAATAAAAATAAAATCAAATCAATAAAAATCAAATAAAAATCAAATCAGGGCTGATCGCATTCTGCAGTGTTTCCTCAGTGTTTAAATTGGTTTGAAAAAAATTCATTCCAAGTTAATCCAAAACCCAATATCATAAATTTGAAATAATTAAAATCAGCACCCATTTCAGATTGCGGAGTTTTTACATGGATATGATTTTTTTAAAAAATTAAAGGCAATAATCCCGATAAAATTCGATTATTTTTCTCCTGCCTTGAAACGGAAGTTAATTAAAAGAAAATGAGATACTTTTCTTCGAATAAACCAGGCGGGTGTGAGGATTCGTGGATTCTTACACAATTTCTCTGCCTAAAAGGCCCTTGTATTTCTCTTCGAGAGCTTGGGGAAGGTCGTAGTGATAGAGGTTTGCGTAGGGGGTGATGCCTGCAGACCGAGAAGTTGCGCTTGGGTCATCACATCCGCTGAAAAACACCATGAACACGCCGCCCAGAAGTCAAACGGGTTCAGAGTCAGCACCTTTCTTTATCATGTAGTCAATGAGCCTGTTGTAGTAAGCGACTCCCTTCCAATTCACCTTCCCTTCTCCATCTGCAGATAAAATCCACAATTTTTTTTATTGGGCATTTCATTTTTATGAAAATTTTCTTTGTGTCTTGCGATTGAGGTTCCAAGAACTGTTCTTTGCGGTAAAATCGGTGTTTACTTGGAAAAATCCGGGACCAGGAGATGGAGAACCGGTAGCCGTCGAAGTTCATCTTCTTCATAATGTCAACGTCGTCCTGAGAGATGAAGGAAGAATATAAAGAACGTTGCCGGTCCGGCCCAGATGGCGGCAGAGTCAACTTGTGGGTTAGCGTGGAGATCTCACCCTGTACTTGTGGTATTCGTCCACAGTCACGTTGGCTGTGGCGTTTTTGGCAATGTTCCCTGATCCACCACCACAGACAGAATTCAGTGGGTGAAAAGAAAGACGAATTGAGCTAGGGGTTAACCTCCCGGCAGGAAGGGAGGAGGCAGAAGCTCGTCTGGTTTTAGTCTACTCAATCATGGCAGATTTTCCTGGCGGCCGACTGACCGGGAACCTTAACGAAGACGTCCCAGATGCTGGGGCCGCGGCCGTCCTTATCCGCCATTCCCTCCACCTGGTACGCTGACGCCGCCGTCCCGAAGACGAACCCTTCGGGGAAGCTGTCCCGGCTAAGCCCACCAGTGTCCAGGTTCCTCGGCGGCCATGGCGGGGCCGCTGCGGCGGCGACACGCAATGCGGCAATGGGGAGGAGGAATGGCAACAGAAGCAGCAAGTTCAGGAGGAGGTTTCTGGACCCCATTGCCGGAAACTTTGAGATCCTTTCCCCCCCTCCTCTCTCAAGCTCGAGTGAGCCGATTTGGTATCCCCCCGCTACTGTGAGCTGAATTTAAAGACGCAGGAGAATGGTAAATTTAAAAAAACCAAGCATTAAAGTGAGAGTGAGAGTGTGTGTGTGCGTGTGTGTGTGTGAGAGAGAGAGAGAGCCATTTACGTAAGCACAATGCCGTCGGCGCAACGGAGGCGATAAAAACCCCGTCCAACGTCCTCCCGGCAGCGCATCGGACATCCGCCGAAATGATCCTCGTCTGAGATCGTAGAGGACGAGAGGACACGACGGCGGGCTCCCTGGGGGCGCGCGAAAGCTGCAGTATATGTGGGCCCCACAATCAAATGACCTCAGCTGCCGCTAGGCGCCCCATGCATCCACGTGTCTCAATCCAAATACATTTCACGCGCCTCATCCACTGTCGACCGTTCGGCGTATTCGAGTCTACGGTGACGTTTGATGACGTCATCAAAACTGTCAACCCAAACATTTAAACTGGGCCCAGATTTTAATTATTTATATACAGGCCATAACAATAAACGAATGGACGTAACTTCCGAGGCAATTTGCAGGGGCCCACACGCTGTCTTCACGGACTCCAGCGTGGCACGCCAGGTGGACTTCTACGTCCATTTTCATAATTGTTTTTAACTAGGAAAATTCATAGAAGTGCTGTAATATCCAGGATATGGCTCACAAGACTCGAGATGAGGAGAGAAGGAAAATAGGTGGGGCCCACTTTGTTCTCCTGCTGCCTTAGAGGAACGCCACGGTAGGTGGGTGGCCCATTACGAGTTAATGAGCTTATCTGGGCCGTTGCCACTTGTATTGGGCCTTCCACTGCAGTTGCCACACGGGCCATGCTCGATTGCTCCTGGACCGGATCACCCACATTGGCCGACTCACAGGAAGGCCCCATTCGGGTTTTTCCATAAGAATAAAAATGTATATATTTTTTTTTCAAAAAACTAGTGGTCAAAGATAATTTGGTTTTTTCAGGGAATGTATTGCAATAATTACGCATTTCCTTTGTGTTAGAGTTGACTGGGCCATTTAAATATTGGGTGAACTTTGGGCCCATTAACACATTAGACTCTTGGGATCTACTTTGAGTTCATTTTTTTTTCTTTTTTCCCCCCTTAGGGGGGCTCGGGCCTAGCCCCTTCTCAGGCAGTCACCTGCCGTGGTACTGCTCTAGCTTGTGTGTTCAACTTGAGGCCTAGCCCCTTCCCAACTAAGTTACTCATCCTGGTGTCTACTTGGGAGTGTCAGAAAGGTGTTTGGTTGGGGTCAATGACAGGAGAATGGTTCCTCTTTGGAAACAGGTTGTATTACTTGTCAAAGGAAGATTCTTTTTTTGGGGGATTGGTGTGGACATACGCGGCTTGAGCCATTGCTCTAGCTTGAGCATGCTTAACTCCAAAGTTCTTATGGGATATGATGACAATACTCCCACTTAGGGAGGTTTCCCCTTGAGTTCAAGCTTAAGAACTCTTTCCACAATTCCACTAAGGAATCATTCCATCTATTTCATTTATTCCTTTTCTTACATTTCTACTTCCTTCCTAAGGATTCTATAAATGGCATCCTAACAAGTTGCATTCCAAGAGGAGAATTCCTCCATGTTACCTTAAATCCTACTTTGGATATACAATTCATGATTCAAGGAGTTGGTGTTTGGGCATATGTAGGTATGTATTTCTCTCCTCTCTATGCTTATCTTTAAGTGATGGCATTTTACGGTTGCAAAATGAATTCAGATAATCAACTTCATGCCTTATTGGCCTGAAGCAACTACCAAATGTAGTCTACAACAATTCCATCTCCATTAGAAAGGGAGAGGTGAGAGTGGTAACATCAATAGAAGTTCTAACCAAGTGCAATTCTTTGTGACTGAAGTACTTCAATCATAGATAATAGAGTTGCTAACTTACTCAATGGAGAAAGGTTTCAGATATAATCTTACTTTTATGCCCTCACAAGAGAATGCCAAGTCTCCAAGTAATGATAATCAACTCTTTAAGACTTTAGACCTTTATCTTGACATCTGAAAGGTGAGATTACTTACATCAAATATATTCTACTTAAGTAAATGTATTAAACTCACTTTTCATTCTCATACCACCTTTTTGTTTCTCTCTTCTTATTTCTTTTGCAAGACATACGATCTAAAGTAGTTACATGCAATGGATGAGCAAAAATGACAATAATTCAAAAGAAAAAAAATAATAGCTACTAAAATGCTTTGGAAGAAAGAAGCTTGTTTGTTCTAACAAAGTGATCACCATTAAGTATCAAGAAGATGAAACTATTCACAAGTCCAAGACAACTGATGATTGGAACTTGGGTAAAATTGATTAGAGCTTCTATTGAAGTGAATTATGGGTTGCATGAGCAAAAGTGATGTCTCTTTGTAATGTTGATGAAGTCACATATGAAACTCTTGTCGGTGGACTCACCTAAACTTTTATTGTACCTGAAGCTACCAATATTATGAACATTCTTAGTAAATTGGTTTATTCACCAAGAGACTCTCACATGAAATCATAAAGCAGCTTTTGATACCTTTAATCTAATCCAAATAGAGGAGTATTTTATTTCAGGTCTTAACACCTACAGATTGATGGCTATATAAATCCAAACCAGGTTGACTACCATCGACAAAGATATACCATAACATACTATATGTATCTTGGAGGAAATCTTGTGCAATAAATAAGAAACACAAATTTATTGATATATCTCATACCTGAGTAAAGTAGAGATGCATATCATAGTAATAATGATATTTAATAAAGGAGAAGCATTAATTTGGAGACCTATAATATTCCTTATATTTGCTTAGAAAACTAACTCATTGATGTGTTTACTAATGGCTCACAAGAGGCCAATTTCTGCATTTAATGAACTGAGTATGAATGATATATGTGGTATACTAAAGAGCAAATGGTGAAGAATGAATTGAAGTGGCTGCTTTTATTTCCCTTGTCTTAGACTTAATTAGGCACATTAAATCTAGTGTCCACTTGAACCCACCAACCAATTAGATCTGGGATCCACTTTGGGTCCACTAAGACTTCATATTTAATATTACCTATTATGATGACTGGGTCTGAGATATTTTTTTTTACCGGTTCACCCATGAGTTTTGGAAGTTTATTCTATATGTTTCTCTTCTATCCCAACACCCAAGGTTTAGGCGTAACTCTAGCTAGGATTTGTTAGCCCATGCACCCCACGTGTGGTCAAAAATACCTAACTTTATCATTTTATTTTAGAGGGTAACTTAGTCAAACCCTGGCTCTCCGGCCCTGATGGACTACCCGCAGTTGGAATAGTTAAAATATATCAACTTTACACACTGGTTGTTTGTCTCAACTTGGTTACGATCTCTTCGTTGACCTGATCGCTGCACGGTGAATAGAATATCGTCGCTTGTCGTCGTCTACCGCCCTTCCTCACGCGGAGGCACCCTTCGACGGGGACGCCCATTCGGAGCAATGAAAGAGATCGGCCTGGGCTCAGCTTCGTGGCCTCTGGGATGGGTTTTGAAGCATGGGAAAGGGAGTTGGGAGGTGGAGGAAGGGAAAAGGAAAGTGGACTAGGGGGGTGGGCCGTCATGGGTGAGGTACGCCGGAATTACGCTGACCTCCGGCTACGCGTACGTGAACCAAGTCCGATTCTCTCACCTGTAGCAGCCATGGAAAACCACTGGAAAACAGCGGGCTGCCGTCGTCAGCACACTCGGCTTCGAGGGTGGAGGGTTTAAGAAAATCCATGCTCATGAGGGTGGGCGAACACGGACGGCTGATGTCGATGATGATGGAACCCCTCCACCCGCCGGGTGATGATTTATAATATACGACGTAGTACTTGGTTCATTCCATTTTCGCTTGGAAGATTAACAACCTTTTTGTCTATCTACGGAGCTTCGACGTAGTCCAATTCTATGGAATGAGAAGACAACGGATCGACGAAACAGTTGTACGCCTCTTATGGCAGCGTGCACGTAATCTCAATGTGGAAAGTCAACAGTACGCACACCGGATTTCCCGAGAACGCGGCGTTCCAACTTTGTCTCGATGAATGGCATCTCCACTGCTGATCCCAAACTGCGTGAGGTATCATCTGGGAAGCACTCTTCCGACGATTTCCACGACGGCCCGTTTGACCCGTTCGTGGAGTTGACTGCGGTTAAAATATCATCTGCGGTGGTCTGGAGTGGTTTTTAAAGTCAAAGTACCGTTGCAGCGAGGATATAGGCGAGATAGGCGCGTTTGGGGTTCCTCGTGTTATGGCGATCAACACCACCCGAAGATATTGACGCTGATGTGGCATGGATTTGTCCACACGTTTATCGTTATCACTCGTCACGGGATAGGGAAACCCGAGAAACTCGACCTTTTTCACTAGCGCATGAGGTCTGTCTTCCTTGTCTGACCTTGGTGTGCGGTGACTATCAGCAAACTACCGAGTCAGTAGGCGAGGGGGGATTACTCCGACATGTCGTTGATGCAGCTGCATGACAGGATATTGATCGTTCAGGAAGGCGAGGCCGGCATGAACTAGTCAAACAAACCTCACCTGTCACCTCCACATCCAAATCAGAGAGCTAGGATTTCAACTACTCCCCCCCCGTCTCTCTCTCTCTCTCTCTCTCTCGTAAATCTTGTTAGACTCTTGTTTTCGGAGATTCGGTGGCGTTGAAGATATCAGAGGGTTTCGTGTTGAGACACCTCCGCTTACTGTGGGCACGAGCCCTCCGCACGCCTCCTCGACTTCTACCTACCTTGAAACGCGTCTTGTCGGAAACCATGAACCATTCACGGCGGTGTATATATAGGGCTCTCAGACAGACCCATATCCGTCATCATTCCTGCTCGCTCATCAAAGCCTCTACTGTTCCAAGACAGAAGACCCGCTGAAGCCCTTATCTTATTCGTCATCTCCTTTCCAATCCTCCACTGTTCCAATAAGGTATGATCAGGAACTCTGCGATAAATTCGCGTCCGGTGCAGAAAAGCGTGCTTACACTCTTTGCACTTGATTCCTCTGTAGGTTGCCGGAGAAGATGAGGGCCATGCTGTGGTTTCCTCTCCTATTTCTGGTGTACTCCGACTATTCTTCCGCCGCTGGCCCTCCGGTCACGGAGGAGTCGCTTAGCGAGGTTGCGGCGTCCTTGAAGATGTACGTCGACGAGCTGCCTCAGATGCCGAGGCTGCACGGGTACTCCATCAGCAAAGGCTCGGTCACTCCGACGAAGCTCACCATTGGAATGTACGAGAAGGACTGGGTGGGTGACCTCTTCGATCCTCTATGAGTAACGCTATAATTGGTCGAGAGTCTCCCATCTTGGGCTCTGAACATGTAGTTCCTATTCTATCTTCGTTGCTGTGCAGAAGTTCCACCGTGATCTACCTCCGACCAAAGTGTTCGTCTACGGAACCAGCAAGGCCGCCGCAACGTTCCCCGGGCCGGCCATAGAAGCCATCCAAGGGGTCCCCCTGTCGGTGACCTGGCTCAACTTTCTTCCCCGACGACATTTTCTCCCCTGGGACCCCACCATCCCCACGGCCATCCCCAAGCGCGGCGGCGTCCCCACCGTCGTCCACCTCCACAGTGGCGTCAACCCCCCCCACAGTGACGGTAGCGCCCTCGCCTGGTTCACCGCCGGTTTTAAAGAGACTGGCCCTGCATGGAGCCGCGCCACCTACACGTACCCTAATGTGCAGCACTCCGGCAACCTGTGGTACCACGATCATGCTCTGGGGATGATCCCTGCCAACCTCTTGGCCGGCCTTCTCGGCACTTACACCATCCGCGACCCGGTGCTCGACGCCAAGCTGAACCTGCCGTCGGGGATTGAGTTCGACCGGCAGCTGGTGATCGCTGACCGGAGCTTCACCAAGGACGGATCGCTGTACCTCAACGCCACAGGAGTTGACCCCTCCGTGCACCCGCAGTGGCACCCGGAGTTCTTCGGCGATGTCATCACAGTCAACGGCAAGGCATGGCCGTACATGAAAGTCCAGCGGCGCAAGTATCGGCTGAGGATTCTCAACGCCGGCAACGCTCGCTATCTAGGGCTTTCCCTCTCCAACGGGCTCCCCTTCACCGTCGTGGCCTCGGATTCCTCTTACCTCCCACAGCCGGTGGTCACCTCCCGTCTGCTACTCGCTCCGTCGGAGATCGCCGACGTGATCGTCGACTTCTCGAAATCAAAAACCAGAGAGATTGAGCTCCAGAACGACGCGCAGTTTCCCTTCCCCGGTGGGGACGAACCGGGCGAGCTCGACGGGAAGGTGATGAAGTTCGTCGTCGTCCCCGGGAACCCGCGGCCGGCGGACTGCTCGACGATCCCCCGGAAGCTGGTGAGCTACTCGCCGGCGTCGTTGAAGGATGTCACGAAGACGAGGTACATCACCCTCTACGAAGAGATCAGCAACGTCTCCGGCCAGCCCGTGCAGCTGTACATCAACGGGCTGACCCTGCTGGATCCGGTGACGGAGACGCCGAAGCCGGGGACGACAGAGCTGTGGAATGTCATAAACCTCACGGAGGACAACCACCCGCTCCATATCCATCTGGCTTCGTTCAGGGCCATCAAGGTACAGGGACTTTTGGAGCTGGAGGCCTTCAAGAGCTGCATGGTGAGGAAGAAGGACGCGCTGAAGTGTAACGTCAGAGCCCACGCCGCCGGCGACCTCGTCCGCGTTCCGGAATACGAGAAGACGTGGAAGAATGCCGTGAAGATCGAACCCGGAAACATGACCAGCGTCATCGTCAAGTTCACCCTGGTGGAGGGGGACAAACCCTTCCCCTTCGACGCCACCGCAGAGCCCGGTTACGTCTACCACTGCCACGTGAGTACTCTTCCGTCCTTCCTTCCGCTAGGGTTTTCTCGTGGATCGTCTCTCCTTACTCTCATGGATGGCTTCCCTCCTGCTTCTCCTTGCAGATTCTCGACCACGAAGGTAACGGGATGATTCGGCCATTGAAGCTCGTCTCCTAATTTTGGAGACGATGGCGGAGGAGGAGGAGACAAGCCTCCTCTCTTCTCTCTCTTCCCATATCTTCCTTCCTCTTCTCCTCGCTCCGAACTCCATATGCAACTGGTTGGTGGAATATTCTTCAGCGGGTGGAACAAGTTTCCTGAAAAGGGAATTCCATTGGATTCTGATGCAAGGAAGAACCTCTTCGACGTGCCTAAGCTTGCTTGTAAAACGATTGAAATTGTGATTATCTCTCTTTATACAGAGTAATTATTGTATTTTTTCCAACGTACCCGTTCAATATGTATCTATTTATTCTTTCAATTAATGAGATTTAACTATGCTGAGGGCTCGACTCGAGATGGTTCTTATTTTTCTCATTACTTAATTCAATATATTTTTTTATTAACCACAAACATATTCCTTGACAATATTTGCTCGTTTTTCCCAATTACACTGCCAACATCTAGAGATCTCAATAAGCAGGGTGCCTGCCTCAGAAAATCAAGAACATGAAAAAGTGCCCTCTCTCTCTCTCTCTCTCTCTCTCTCTCTCTCGTCATAAATATGTGTAACATATTTGAAATAAGTGAAAGCAGAAAGATTTATATATATATATATATATCTCAGACAGAGAGAGATAATGAATGATGCAAATTCTCCCAGAATGCGGGAGATTCTGATTTCATAGAAAACACAGAAAATGAATTATTGAGCTCACATCTTATTGAGATCATGCTTATCCTCATGGAACGAACACACAAACAAGAGTACAAGATTTTGGTGGAAATAAAAACTGAACAAGTGGGTTCCGATGGAAGATCCTTGGGATGTTCTATCAAGGGTGGCGGCGGGAATCTAGGAAAGAATCTGCCGATCGGGCCGGGCCGTCAGCTGTATCTCTCCGCCTTGAACCTCACCAACGGGTGGCGGATGTCGTCCTGGCTCTGAATCAGCCTGATCTCCAGGCTGCTGGACTTGGGATCGAACCCCACTTTTTCGTAGTCCGCCACTGTTCGTTGCAGTAGCGCCTGCATGGGACGATCGAGACAGAATCATCGAGCAATACCTGAAGCCCATTGCAGTATCTCGAGGGCTGAATTATTTTGCTTTCCTCATTTTCGGCACAAACCCAAAGTTATAAAAAAAATGCTTTTTTGTAATAGATCTTGAGATATATTTTCTGGCCGCGAAATTCATGATGTTTGGAATTTTTTTAAAAACGAATTCTTGTATAATTAAAATTCCGGAGGCGAGAAGAGAAATATCAATGAGAGATATTCGGCAAGGAGGAGGAAAGTTTAATTAGAAATAATATATCAAAAAATCCAAAAAAATACCTGCAAACTTGCTACTGCGAGTTCTGATGCTTTGCCCAGATCATCTGGAGATTTCTAGAAAAAGTAAAAAAAAAATGCAATTATTTCTAACCCCCGTTAAAAGCATAGGAAGTTGTTCCCAGATGGACGTCAGACGCATGAAGGGCTTACATTACTCCATCCGAGTAGAAGCGCAGTCATCAGATCTCCGGTTCCCTTCAAATCACGAAAGTAAATAACTAATTAGGGAAGAACAGAAGAAAAATTAAATGGCAACGACGATAAGGTTTTTAAATATTTTTAAATATATTTATCAAAGAACAATGAAAAACATCTCATATGTGAAGTTCATGCACCAAGCACACTCAGCCAAAGGAAATGCCAATTTATATCTATATATGAACGGTGGATAAAGAAAAGGTAGAATGTATGCCACAAGTCCATCAACCTGCGACAAGCTCCAAGAACTGTCAACTGCCATCATAGGTTCAGAGGTCATACATTGTCATACTATTTAGGATGTCGACGCTTACAGTGAAGTATGAAGGAATCTTAGGTATCACAATTTTGAACTGTTCCGGAGGATGGCCCTGAAAAAAAAGAAAAAAGAAAAGAAATTGTTCTTGAGAAATGAGAGAAACCCTCCAAGGGATAGTGACATAAACGAGTTATGAAGTGAAGAACTGTGCTTCTGCACGCAATCTACATTTCACGGGTACATGTGCTGGAGCATGGGATTACTGTTTTACAGACAGAATTGGCGGAAAGAAGATTTTTCTTAGCATGCACAGAGTTTGGTAATATCCATAAAAATACAGCTGGTCTACGAAATTATGGAGCCTAAGTCAAAGTCACACTCTTTCAAGTGCCACAGATTACAGCATGGCTTCACAAATTCTCGGCTCCATGTAATCACTTCGTCTGCTTTTAGTGATCAGTTTAACAACGTCAGTTCACTTCTTTTAAGTGACCTAATTGCGCTGATGTTTCCTCTTTCAGCAGTAAATCCAAACCAAGCACATTTGATGCAAATCTTGATGGGGTATCTTGATTTTTCACTGACTTCATACACATTTGGCATCGGTTGCTATCCTGGGTTTAAAAATTGGAAGCACTCCTGGATCTAGGACAGATGATACCAACTCGGTCCGGACCATCATGTTCAGGCAAGGACTGGTCAGTTCTGGCGTTCTCAATCATTTCATATTGAGGCATGAATCCCTATGAATGAATCCCTGCAGCATGATCCCTGAAAAATTCAGCAGGTTCTGGCGTGTGTTACCCAGATTGAATCTATTCTGTTTTCAGGACCACTACATGGACAACAAGATAAGAATATATATTGTCTGGATCAAAACAAAATGAGGCTAGCTTTAAAAATGGGACTGTAAAGCTACACACAAAAATTCAGATCCAGGTTGTTCATGCTATCGTTGCCTTAACAGTGGCTGAAACACAGGACCAAAAACGTAAACATAGGGCTGAAGGACATTTTTAGAAATTTGGAGAACTTGGGATAGTCGAAAGAAAAAAAATCTGGAAAATTACATGATTTTTTTTCATAGTTGAATGTGGACGATGGAACGCTCAACAGTAGATTCGTACGATTAGTCCAAAAAATATTTTAGAAATTTACTTAAAACTGGCAGGAAAGCAGTGCCACAAAAATAGCTACAGAAACAGCAAATACTTGTGTGCGAACAATGTGCAGACTGATCCCTGACATTCGGAGGTGCTAAGCATGGCAATAATATTTCGTGGTCTAGGCAAATGAGCCTAGCCTGATTGGGCCATCCGTAACTTTCAATGAAATTGCAGAAAAAGAATATTTCATTGACATTGCTGACATTTCAGCATATGTGAAAAATTACCTTTGATTTCAGATGGCTGCCAATCAGAAAGAGATGTCCATCCATATTTAGGCTGGTAATTACAATCTGAAATGAGTAAAATTTCGAAGAATTTTATATACCTAGAAGCAAAGGACGAATGTCCCATGTAAATGAATCAAAATGAGACAATTAAAAATAGTCGGAAGATCTTATGCTTATTAAAAAATCTGTCATGGATGTAATAATTGAGCAGTGTGGCTGTCGTTGAAACAAAAAATGGTCGACTAGTGAATTGACAAAAACTGAAACTGATGCTGGGCGCGTTTTTGTTCGAAAGTGAGAGAGAAGCTTTGCTCAAAAGAATTAAGGAAGTGAATGAAATAGGAGTTCCCAGTCCATCATTATTTCAGAATGCTTTCTATACACGGTGTTTTCTGGTTTGCTTTAGGGGCATAGTGTCTGTAACATACTAATTTGATTATATTTTCTTTACTCCAAAGGTGAATAACTAGATTTTTTGTGATTTCTTCACCTCCAATGATGAACTCTTACTGCTATTGGGAATGGGAATCTAGGCACTCATATCTTTGACATCTGAATGCAAAAGAAAGCTTCTACAGTAGAGCTGAACTCCACTGTTTTCTGGCTCCCCTGTTTTCGTAAAAGGAAGTTGGAAACACTAGTTTTGAATCAGGACGAAGTATGATGATCCTCCCTAGTTTTTGTAACTCTTCAGCTAGCCTTTTCTTTCCTTGTGGGGACTTGTTGCATACCACAGAGATTATATAAACTGTCCATACCGTCCATGTAAAGGGTATGCAAAGGCAATGAATGATCAAAGTCGTATGCAAACCGAGATTTGGTCACCGAATCCTATGACGTACTATAGATGATTCAAAGCAGACCCTACAACCAATTCTAAGATTTGCTACAAAACAGAGCCTATACATGCCCCAAAGAGACGTTTATGTTTGATAAAAGACAGACCTTAGAAGGTCCTGCTTCGTGAAGGACACGGCATGCTTCCAATCCATCTTTCTCTGAAGAAATTCTACATATAAACAAACACCCAAGTTAAATATATCTTGACGAAATGAAGGATGCATTTTCATTGATGACAACAAACGTCAGATCAATCCAAGAAGAGTAGAAGCGTTTCAAAGACAAAGACCATATGTGATTTGGAATGGAAAACGAAGGAAACACAGATACTGAGTGTGCTAACGGTCGAACTATATCGCTAAGGTGGAAAATTAAAGACACTGGAAAAAACTGACAGATATCAAGCAAGCAGAGGAAAACGCAAGAAAGAAAAGAATACCTGAATCCTGTAAGCTGCTCAGCTTCAAATTGGTTAGGTGTCAGCATTGAGGCAACTGGAACAACCTAAAAAATATACTCTTATGAGGTATAATTCACATAATATAGCTTCTAAAGAAGGCTGATTATCAAGGGCGTTGAAACTTCATTGTGAGACTTGATACTTAGGCATATCATATTGTCTAGTTTAATGCAAATAGTAAATCTTCTACCAAGAAAATGTGTAGTTCAAAGTTAGGATTACGAGATTGGTATGATAAAGAAAAGATGGAAACCTAACATAAGTGTGACACTAGAACTGTTGTATAATAAGACGAAACTACTAGGTAATCAATAACACCAACCATTTAGATAACTATTTTCTGAAAATGAAACATGCCACAATGCACCACTTAAATAGAAAACCAACACCCCAGAAAATGGAAAGATGTTGTGATAAGGCTCCACGCACATATGCTAGAAGGAAGAAGGCCCAAAGCCCAATAAGTCAATAACGGTTAGCATGATTGAGGGAAGGCGCAGTTATGGCAAGGAACAATATGACAAGGAACAGTTATGGCAAAGAGCGGTTATGACAAGAGCAGTTATGGCAGGAGACTAACTGCCTAAATAAGAGAGGGAAAGGAGAGGATATAAGGATGGGCTGATCAGGAAGGAGGGGGAGAAAGAAAAATCGGTTAGTATCTCGTGCATCTAGGAGAAAGGGTTGGAAGGTTGTATGCGACCCTCTATCTGTTCTGGGTTCTTTTAGTGTGCTTTATCTTTGATATTTCTGTTCTAGAGATTGTTCCTTTCATCTAATACGAATTATTCGTAGTTCTTTGATCTGGGTTCTTATCATGTTGATACTCGGGACCAACCTAACAAAGTCGAACATAAAAAAGACCAGAATCCCAACTCTAGATGAGGCTAAATGTAACTCCATCTGATGAACACCTAAAAGCAGACAATATAACTTTCCGATTTTCCAAAAATATAAGATAATAAATCTACTGAAGGGGCACGTGACTGCATCCCTCAATTCTATCTCTGGTTTCTTCACTGCCTCCCGAAACTGACCTGCTTACACAGCACTGCTTCTGGTTCAAAATATAAATCAGAATTCTACAAAAATTATTTATCGATAATGAATGACCATTGTTCATCATCTTATTGATAATGACTTAGAAGCCACACCTTGCTCAGAAGGACCCAAAACTAACTCCGCTGTGATCAATGTGACCAAAACTCTTCTTAGGATTGTAATTGGGGCTGGACACTTTCGGAAGACAGCCACTCTGGGGTTCTTAGTTTTTCTATTGCAGACAGAGCCACGAAAGAAGAAACACTAGAAAAGAAAAAAATGGAAAAAAAAGAGAAAGAAGGTAAACCATTCTGCGACTGCTACCACTCCTTGTGGCTTGTTGTTTGCCATTATTAGTGCAGTAACTCCTATAACAGATGGTCGCAACCATCAAACAACATTTATGTAATATTTGTCAATGTTACTTCTTTTCATTTCATCTTCTTCCAGTATTCTCCACAGCCTAGCTCTGCCCCGTCTATCCACAATTTTTCTCTGGAATCATAGCCAAGCCATGCCTATGATAAAAGAGAAGTGGAATTAGGTTCGAAGAGGAGGTCAAGAGTTTTACTTTTGTAAATATGTACTAGATAAATTTTCTTTACAGTTTTTGATAAAATGGGTAAAATATAATCCGGGGTTTACATTTCTTTCAAAGTTTATATGATTTTTTAACCAAGCGACTCAGGCAAGATTCGATACCCAATTAGATTATTAGTAGGTCCAAATTTGCTAGCCTGGTCATGAGATACCCCACGTTTACAAACCCTACTCATGGATAGCCAACTCAGTTAAAACCACGAGTATCTGTGGTCACAAAGCCCGAAACGCTTGTGGGCCCCTAAGCAAGCTGAGCTAGAACAATGTCTGCCAAGCAATGATATTCAAAAGGCCACTCTCAATCTCCCAGAATTATCAAGGCTTTTCCTTCTCTAAATAACCCAAAAGCCAGAACATCGATGAAAGCAGAAAGTTCTTAATAGAACTGGTCAAAATGTGCTAGTTTTCGCCCACCAAACAGAGAGGTCCTTAATGAGGAAAGAACGACTTTCCAACACACCAAGGTTAGCTTCTGATTCACATAATCATAGGCTATATGGAAATCCCTTAAAACTCCCAAGTCTCAAAAAAGTTCTTTTAAAAAAAGAACTGTTTTCCAATATTTCATTTGCAATAAGTGCAGAGACTCATGCCCAGATTTTCCATTTCTTGCAAATGTTCCTGCTGAAGAAAATTCCCTGATTCATGGGTTCTCTTGTACCTTATATATCTACTAACAAACAAAGAAGGTAATTGAGAAGGTCATATAGGTAAATTTTGAAATTCAATTTATTACTAAGAAAGTGCTGCATAAATTTCAATTTCCCAGACAGAATGAATAGCATAAACATAAACATTTATCTATAATAAAATAAATCAATCACCTTCTCACGGTAGACCGACACTAGCTGTGAAGGGACATATAGCTTTCCTTCATCACCCATAACTGGATCACAAACTACAAAGGAATTTTTCAACAATTAGACAAATATAATCAAAGATAAAAAAATACCCCTCTATAGAGAAACCAAAGCTGTCCAGCTCTGAGGCAAACTCAGTAAGTAACAAAACAATGCTAGCTCACACCACCTAAGTTGTAGGTAACTTGTTTAAGTCCCAATTAAGTTAGTAAATTTCTTCATCACCCACAGCTGTTGGCCAATGAAACTCAAATGCGCAGTATCAGTCGGCCTAATTTGCTTGTTCCAAAACGAAACTAACTCCACAATAATTGTGAATATCTAAATCATCTAAAGTTGCCATTAATTTTCTTATGAGTTCTCCTGATAAAAAGTCAGGAGCAGTATTGCTTCTAGAAGCGGGATATTTCAGCAGGTCACAGAGCACTGTTCCTGCGGTTCATCTTCCTTTTGGTACTCATTACCTATATCCGTTTATAGACTCACAAATGAGGAAATTCTGATGGCGGCGAATGCTTCATAATGAGATACATGTAGACTGGAGTCTGAAATCTGCAAAGAAGACGCTCAAGGTCTAGGTGGAAGAATGAGTGGTAGTGACAGCATTCTCCAAAACATCCACAAGCATACTTGGAGAAAGCAGCTTGCGTCTCAGTGAGGAAAGAAAGATGAGACTGTGGAGACAATTTAACTTTAATAATGTCAAGAGTCAGGAGAGAAAATAAAAACATATCAATCTATGTGTCAGTGTAAAGATATATACACATAAATGCACACACACACACGCACACGAAGCTTGAGAATAGTTTATAAATAACAGAACTGTACTGCTTTTGCAGAGCAAAACATTAGGCATTACAAAGCATTCTCAAAACTTGGTGACCTTCACTTCCACCCTTTTCCCTTCGCACTTTAATAGACAACATATTCATTTAGAAACACTTTGACCTCAAATTAATGAAAGATTCATCTATTCCAAATGCACATTGACAGCTCATTATAAATTCAAAAAAGAATGAGCATTCCTACATGTTATAAAGGGGTATTAACTATTTCTTGCTTTTCTTATTAAATTGACCACTGACAACTGGTAAACATGGGATTACATGATTCTTTCTTCAAAAATCACAACTTATTTGTAAAACACCCTTCAGCTATACTTACCATAAATAAGGCCAGGATTTACTGAACGAAGTTTTTCTACAACCTTTAATATCGTATCAAGAAATGAGACAGAACCTATGTAGCCTGCAAGAGGAACCAACTCGTGATGAGCCATAATAGCAGTATTCAGTGAATATATCAAATATAAAAACGATTCATATCACACAGTTTCCTTCATTGAGGTATAACCATCAAAATAAAAGGATTTTATCCCACACCCAAAGAAAATTACATTTGAACTAAAAAGGCCTGAAAAAATCGTAACTTGAAGAGTCATCCGATTCCAACTGGGCATGAGGGAATAATTAGTGTTACTGGAGTCAAGTTCACAAGATTGACTTAGCTCAGTCAAAATATGGCAAATCTGAGTGATAAAATTCGAAGGCTAAACCCTTTTGAACAAGATTCTAATGACTTACCACCAAATTAAAGAAAGAGGAAAAAGGAAAATGAGATGTGATGCTGCATAGCTAATTTCATGGGTAAAGCGAGAAAAATTTCCTGGGCAGCGCTCATCACCGCAACCTAACCTTATTATGATAACGTCAGACCCATGGGATCAAATTATGTAAGATGTATAGCGCAAGGACATTAAATTGCGCAGAGAATAAGGCAATTTAAAGTATGTTATGTGGTCACATCTTCCGTTTCCCAATGAGTCTGCTCAAAAACCGGAGGTCAGGCAAGACTGTGACAGATGAAATGATATATTATGATGATTTTCAATGGTAAAACATAAAAAATATCATTTTTATGATTCTCATGCTCTTAGGAGCTCTACCATGTATTCTACAGAAAGGTTGGACAGATCGAAATTTATTATTATGCTAATATAAATATTTTAAGGAGCAGTCTCATGTATATGATGTATATTTTAATATATGTGATCGTGTATTTTCATAAAAACGCATCATGATAGGTAACATTTTCACTGTGCTTCTGGGTTTGCCAGGACAAAGGCATGAAGAAATAGGACCCAATACAGACCCTAGATTTGGCTGAAAATCAAAAAAGTATCAACTATAGAAATAAATACCTTGGAAAACTCTGACTAAAATTTATTCTAGCCAGGATAGAAGATATCCTATAGCATACCTGTCAACAGATGGGTGTAATACAATAGATTGTTCGCTTCAAGACCTTCTATCAGATCCCAAAGTTGTTCGCCATCTAGGACCTGCCCCTTAAATGTTGGATAACCTGCAAAAAACTTGGGTAATTAAAACTAGGCTTCACATAAGAGCTTTGTACCTAGATAACATGCAAAAGAGAAACAAATAAATTAACTTTGCCTTATTTATGAGATGGACGGGAGGATACTATGTAAAGAAGCTTGCCTGTATGATTAGAAAATTGCACTGAATTGATTGGATCCACGTCATACCCAAGTAGTTGAAGTGGGAAAACAGCTGATTTGTTGCCAACATATCCCTAAAAAAAGAAAAATACAGTAAATTCCATTGTTGACATGTTTTCCACTGTGCAAATTTTAAATATATAATGATGAACAAGAGAAAAAACGGTCTCTGTAGAAGTTGAAAAAGCTGTGGAAAAAGACAATGTATACAAGAACCTATAAGGACTAGATCACGTAAATGCATTTTAAGTTCACCAAAGATCAATTAAAATTCAGGTGTACCATAATGAAACTACCAATCATAAAACCCCCGCTTTAAAAGTTTTAAGAAATGCAAACCGCCATTTTTATTTCTAGAAAACGGGTGGATCGCAAGAGTACAATAATAATACATCTAGATCAAACTCATGACAGGACTCCAAAATAGGCAAAAGAACACTGGTACTGTGTCATCACCCAGGATATCAGGATAGACACTAGCTGAAAATACTAAATGGATATGTGTATTGCAATATTTAACATGGTTTGTTGACGCAGGCCAATCCAAACGCATCAATCCATGTCACTGTATTGTGATGTAAATGCGAACCGTGTTGTGGTTCATGATTATTACAACATGACTTGCTCATTCAATAAAACAATAGAAAGAGAAATGTGTGGATGTTTACCATATTTTCTATAATAATGATACACGAAATGTAAACATATTAGCAAATAATTGTACTTTTTCAATAACTCCATTGTGTCAAATTGTGGTACAATGGACTATAACAATAATAATGATAAACTGACTGATTGATGCTGTAATTGTAAGAGCAAATGATTGTGACAGTATGCACTATAAATTTCGACTGTGGTGACAACTAATTGTAAACAAGAAGCACTAACTAACCCTGCATCAGACGGGCAGCCTACAAGGGGGTCATTCCTAAGATCATTTACTTCTAATCATCTACAAATTATTTCTCTTTCACTACCCATTCAATGATATGGTTGAACATTTTTATTTCTTTCCGTTAATTTCCATATCTAACACTTGACACTGAATTGTTAAACTTTCTTCATCAGGTTTAGTGAGGAGGAAAAAATGCACAAGGAAATGAGTCCATACTTGATGCTAAGCTTTTTGTAATCGACATGGGTGTGGGAGGAAACTTTGTAAGCCTTCACTAATCATTCCCTCCTCGGAGCAATTGGGGAGAAAAAATACGACTAGTTATCATTAAATTGGCCACTACCACGGAGATAGATCAGGAATAAATGCATTGCAAGTGAGTACCAGAAATGTGCCTATCTGCTTCATCTTCTAACTTAGGGTACAGCCCCCAGTCGGCACTGTGAGCCTCAGAAATACACGGTCCGTGCCAATGAAATAACTTAAGGCAGGCTGCAGCGGGCAGTAATCTGTCGATGCGCAAGCATACCTCCATCGACCGCGTGGACGCTATAATTGCCCCAGTGATACCTGTCCCGTGAATGAAGAATCAAATAATTCTCTGATGACTGTGACTGGACTGACGCAAACTGGGTAGGGTTTGGAGGATCAAGGCCATACAAGATGGTAGGGATTGGCGCGGGAGAGAGAAGCACAATCCGCGAGTATGTTCCTGAGAGTGGAGAAGAACAGTATCTCACACTCTTTTTCCAATGTCAGATGGCGGAAAAGAACACGTTCAGAAGTCCTACTCTCGGCTACCAGAAATTTCAATAATCACACCACCATTTTCATGGCACATGACTGAAAAACAGGAAACGCAACGCGGCGAGAGACGAAAGCACACAGTAGGCGGAATCTCCAGCCTACGACAGATATCCATGCGTTGGGAGGACAAGCCGTGGAAGCCACATAACACATTAAACACAGGAACACCGATGATTCGGAATAGTACCTGGACAGTGTGCGACTGGATGCTGAGGACGCGCCCCGTCCCAGAGGGCAGAGCGAGCGCGAGGATTGGAGCTCTCGACATCGACCACAGTCCCTTCTTCGAGCG